CAAATACTCAAAAAGCCAAGTAATTCCTTCCACAAGAGGGTCTTAATTGTGAAAGAAGCGCCACATGAGCCCTTTTGTACCCCTGAAGCGCTATCTTCCTACACAAATCGTGATGCTGCTAATTGAACCAAAGAGAATCCAAGGCAATCCATTTGGCCCTTTGTTGCATGCCACCTTGCGAACGTTTCAAGGTATACCCTAGGTGACGCTTCGGCTTTCTTACATGGTGGGAGGTTAAACCTCAGTTGGGATGTGAAGAACATGAGCTTTGGCCCAAAAGATGTCCTTTCTAAGTCTGTTTGGCTGCAAACGGTGCGGGGTTGTCAGAACCAGGACCCTGCAAGGCGGTATCAAATGACACCCCACCCCCTCAAGAAGGCAACCACCGCCCCTCTGAGCCAGTAGTTAGCATAATACTCACAGGTCCTATCCCCCCGGGAACAAACCACAGGCCCTGCCTGTCCCAGTTTTGGATTCCCTGGGTTGCTCAAAACCTGGAAAAGGGTACGACATTTCAATCAGTTGAGCCCTGGTAGGGAACCACACGATGCCAGTCCAGCGTTCTGCCATGTTTTGATCATCGTTGATGAAGGACTCGGAGCAACCCTCACAATCTTCACCTCCCAAACACCTCCCAAACGGCTGAAGCAGCCCTCAAAAAACATCCTCGGAATGGTAGTTTAAAGGGAAATCATCCCGAAAATTGAATTTTGAGAACCCCTCAAACCGCTCACTTCAAGGAACCCATGCCTGGGCAGGTAAATAATTAGAACCAAACTGAAACTGGTGCCATCATCGTTTGCAACCAACTCGCTTCAAAGGTCACTGGAGCATGCACAGGGATGAATTCTCCTGGGACGTTGATGAGTCGGGATCAGAGTCCGCAAGAATGGGTTTCTGATGGACCTCCACGGGGAAAAAGGGCACGGGTCCCTTGCTTAACCGTGTCCCATTTGTCCCAGCAACAGCTGAGCCTTGCCTGAAAGCTTTCAGCAAGCTTTCCCCATCCAACAAGAATTGGCACTGCTCTCAGTGAATCCCAGGCGCTTCGCCATGGTAGGTAACCAACCCCATTTTCCTTATGGCTTCCGGCTGTCAAGCTTGACTACCCAAACGCATAACTTACTGCCAACCTGGAATAACCAACCCGGTCGGGAACAAAAAAGACAAGAAACACAAACGCTTCCATTCATGAGTGAGCTCGAAACTGTCTACCCTCAGTGAGCTCGTTTTACAAAAAAAAAGCTGACAAGGATCAATAGTCCTGGAGACGCATTGAGAACTGACAGGTCACATTCCCACCGGAGCGGATTGAGCCAGATGGCTTTAAAAGCATCCATGGAAAGGCCCATCCTACCTTTTGCCAGGCTCCCGCAAATTTAAAACACACCCAACTCAAATTTTGGTTTGCCACCCATTTGTTGAGGTCCCCGTGGGTCACACCTACCCAGTCGAGTCCTGAGACATCTTGTGAGCGCACAGCAGCTGGAGCAGAGCAGACACATCACCAGGGACGTGAAGATCGGGGGGAGCAACGTCAGCGCCGCCACCTGAATAACAGACCGTGCCACGGCGAGTTCTGCGGTGGTTTTCTCCGCGTTCCGCGTGAGAAGGGAGGAACAACGAGGTAGATACTGTTCAAGGGCCCAAAGACATGCTTAACCTTGAACGAGCTTCGATTCGTCATGTAAGGCGCGAGAAAGAAGAGGTTGAAAAGGTCAAAGAGTTCAAGACGCAATCCAGCATGCGGGCGTTTCAACAGACCTGTTTCCAGCCAATGGCCAATGACGCTGCTTGGCCGTCGCTTGCCTGTGATCAACTTGGTGATCGCTCGTTGCGTACGAACCACGGCGACCAAACATTCGAAGGGTTTCAGGGATGCGGCTCTGCCAGGAAATAAGTTGAAGTTTGGAATCGAACTACCGGGTGCTTGAGGGTCAAGCAAGCAAACAATAGACAGGGATGCATGTGGAAGAATAAGAAAGGACAGTTCTTAAGTCTCACATGCAGGCCACATGGCCTCATGAAGTTGAAGCTCAAACCTCAAGTCACCAACGCTACAATTTGCCCGACATCATTCTTCTTCCATTAGGCCCCATTGGACACATTTCCCCGATGCGAAAAGACCAACCACAACTTGCCAAGCAAAAACAACCAGACCCTGGCAGCCATTCAAATGGGACCGACGGAATCTTGCGAAAAGGGTTCCTGTGGCTTGACCCGACAACGAACTTGCCGACCGAGCAACCTGCCAACCGACGACAGGGTTCCCAAGAGATTTTCCCTTAAAACATGCCCCCTGAATACGGAAACTCACCTTGAGCGGGCCAAACAAATAATGTTCAAGCCACTAAGAAGGGAAAAAAAGGATCCCTGCAATTCGCCTCCTTCATCCAGGTGTGCGTGGAAAAGATCACTTGCATCATACTGACCTGGCGCGAGTAGCATGCTAACGTGTGGCTCAAGGTGTGTCATTCAGGTTGGTAGGGGGTTCAACAAAAACAAGACAACAGCACATGTAGCACGCTTTGCTTTGCTGCTTCCGCTTGGGATGATGTGTTGCGTGTAAACCAAAACTGGACGAAAGGTATACGTGCCTGGCTTGCCCCGTTAGGTAAGATGGAATCAATCCCTCTGAGCCAGCTAAAAGCCATTTCAGGGATCCATACAAAGGTCCACGTTCTCTTTGGTGGACCTGAAGGCTGGACTTCCTGTCTGTCTAGAATTCCTCTTGAGGGGAGTTCTAGGGGTTGTTTCCCGTTCTTTTCAACCATCGTTCTTTTCAGAAAGAAGGATCCCTGGAAAGAATGGGGGAGGTGCCCCTAGAGGAGTCCCTCGTTGGTCAAAAGGTAAGCTCCGACTCGACTCCTTGAGCTGTCGCTTGAATCATGGCAACAAACAAGTTGCCGCCAGAGGCAGGGCAGCAAACCATCGGGTAATTCCCATGTCAGGGCAAATGCTCTGTTGACAACTTGCTGGTGCTCAGTAGGGAATGACCCTTCCGGGTGTTGGAAATGAACCTAGGGATTCCCTTATTCCTTCATTCCCTTCATTCCCTTCCTATCGAACCAGCAAGCAACAACACAATCCGGGCAAATTACTAGAGATGACGAACCGAGGAAAAAATTGCATCCCCAAAAATCCCCAAGTCCGGCACCTTCATGATGGGTTTTCGCTCGTTTTGGCCCAAACGTGCGAGCATTTGCCCAACAAGTTCCTTCAAGGCAAGCTGGCTGATCGAGAGCCACTTTCTGGAGAAGGGGAACTGACAGCCCAATCATACTGTGGGTGGACGAAATCCTCCTAGGCACCACCTAAGAAACCATAAAATGATTCGATTCCCCATGTAAATACCAACAAAGAATGGTTTCTCATGGTTTCAAAGTGATGCAGGATGTTGTCCATCCACGGCAGGATTCCACCACGCCTTCCTTTACTCCCCTCCGCTCCCCCTGGTCAGGCAAGAGGTGCTGGGACCCCTATGAAACAAGCAAACCGCACCACTTCCGGAAAATCATGCCGGCGAACATCAAGTGCAAGCCGTCACGTGATGAATTCAATGGAGAAATTGTTCGAAAGGCAGAAAACACATCGAAGAACGACAGGCGGGCCTGCACTCGTACACTTGCAGTTCGCAAACTGGGCGTTGGCACGCACATACTCCCTCACATGGTACCAAAGTAATGTTGTACCTCCAGTGTAGCAAGTTTCTTTCCTAGTTCAAGAGGGATGGGGGGGATTAAAAAGGGTCCAACATTAACTGAACAAATCGGCAGAAGTTTCTACGCGAACATAAGACCAACATGGATTCGCCGTGCAAAGCAACGAGAACCACGGCTGCGGCATGCCGCCTTGTGGTTGACCACTGCAAACCACACAGAGATGCCGAGGAAAACCTTGGATCGGCTGACACAAAATCTGCTGCAGAGGAAAGAAGTATTGACGTATTGACCACTGAACACAAGGCAATGTAGGCTAACTCCAATGGTCTTAGTCTCCAAGGGATATATACATATACATTATATGTATGAGCCACAGTCAGTACGCTGTTGTGTCCCCTGAACTGATATTGGATTTGGTGAGCAAACCCCCTTTCTTTATGGTCATTTAATCCATATCCCCCCAGTGTCATCTCCTTACTACAGTAAATGCTAATATAAATATTGACCGTTGCTCATATCAGCCACAGGCCTCCCTCTGGAACATAACCCCTCCACAGGAAGCTCGTCCAAAGCTGATGCTAAAATAAACACAGGGATCCCGAGCAAACTGAGGGCTTGTCCTTTTTCAGGTTGGACGCTCTAAAAATGATAGTCTTCGTTTGGGCTTCCCTTCAAAACCTAAGAGCCGTACCAACTCCAAAACAAAAAAGGGGGCGCCAAAAACCCACGAGCTCGTGGCGCGCGATGGGCGCGCTGCGCGCGTTTGGGGCGCTCGGCTCCGGTTCCCAGGAGCCGAGGTGCCACCAGAAAGTTGAAGTCCAGCATCGAGATGCTGAGACCCACCCGCGGCTTCAGCTGAAACTCCTGGCGCGCGTGGCAGCAAAGGCAAGACGACCTGGAGGCCGTTTTGGGGTCTCAGCTTGGGGGGTGACCTCAAAAGGTGGAACTCAGGAAGTGAGAATACTAAAAGAGGTCCGAATCCCATTTCGGGTCGTCACTCTCCATAGGTCCGGGTCTTCCTAGCAAAAGCAACTTCTGTCTCTTTGGGCTCCATGCGTCTGTGGGCTTGGAAAGCTACGGTGGCTTCCCCCACTTCTTTGCTCTCCAGATTGACAGGGGACCCCAACAAAACACCATACGCAGAGGAAACGACCCCCCTTTTGGGGATTGATCCACGTTGATTTCTTGGGGAGTAGCACTTGTTGAGCACTTTTCAAGGCGAAAGATCTGCCCCCCGACGCCCACAAGGCCCTGCATGCACCAGTTGGTCGGTGCTTTGTCCCAGTCATGGATGGACGAAATCCTCCTAGGCACCACCTAAGAAACACTAGAATGATATGATTCCCCCGTAAATACCAACAAATAATGGTGTCCCATGGATTCAAAGTGGTGCGAAATGGATTTCGCAACCATCCACAGTAGCTGTTTCTCCAGTTGGAGGAGTTTCTCCATCCCCGATTCCGAGCCCGTGAACTGCACTTTCTTGAGAGAGGAATATGAGGCTTAGGAACAGCTCTGTATCCCTCCATTTGCTGAAGTCCCCTGAAAGAAAAATAGACAAAACCATCCAGTAGTAATAGATTCTCTTGAAAACCAACAGGATAAAACCAACGGGACAAAAAACAAACATATATTCTTGAGCAAATGAAAGTATCCCTAGAACGCACCAGGGTGGGTTGACAAATGCCCCACAACTTCTGTATGGCATCAGTTTGAATTACGACCCAGTACCCGGACTGATGGACATGTTTAAGGGGTTTTCATGTCTACCCTTCATAGCCATGTGGGCATAAACAAAAGGGGACAGAACCAAAGTGAAGGAATTGTGCCGGGAGCATCCACCCTATCAACCCGACGCTACCCAGTCACAGAGAAACCAAACTGTAGGCAACACAACCCAATCCGACGGGTACTTCTAGTTCATTGGGTGTCTCAGGAAACGCCCCCCCCCCCCCCTCAAAGTGTGGCGCCTTTGCATAGTCAGCATCTTGGGCCCACACCATTCTTGCACGACACCACAAGGCACCACACCAATTTTCTGCCAAAGCATGTGTTGATCATACTTTGGCCTGTCTAGCAACCCGGGCATTTTGACAGCGCCAATCGAAGACTAACACTCGGTGTGATCCAGCGAGGAAGGAAACAAACTTCATACATTCTTCAAGTTGTGGTCTTCAAGGATTGAACATGAGTCATCACTCAGAACCTTCCGCTTGCCTGATACATCGCCAAAGTAGTGATACATAAATAATGGTATGTATGTATGCTAAAGATAGGTATGCTAAAGATAGGTAATGTTGACCCAGGATTCCTGTACCATTATTCGGGGGTGTTCCCTCCAAAAGTGGTCCGAATCCCCACTAAAACGGGACACCCCCCAATCAAAATCAACCAGGGGTTCTACTTAGATCCGGGGTTAACATTATTCCCCTTGATGGCCGGAGAAAGAGGAGAACCACACGACTGCAACCCAGAGATTTCCGGCCTCGTACCACCGGATCCAGCCAGAGCCCCAGTTCTGGAAGAAGAACTGGCACAGGACTCTCCTGGAAAAATCCGACAGGGTTCACACGCCTTCTGGGGGCGTCTTTTTGGTGGGGATCCCAAAATTGGTGATTTCCTTTTGGTTTCCCCTTAAACCCATCCAAAAATGGTTCCCTAAGGAGATCACAAACGAGAAATGGCCGGAGCGGGGGGGAGGAAGGAGGGCAAATGAGGTGTTGGTGTAAAACAAATTGGAGAGGTGTTTGCTTTCATGGCTGATTGAGCACATCCGGCAAGGGGCTAGGAGCAAGCTCAAAGAATGCAGTCCCCAGCAGCTGAGTTTACATGATGAAATCCCTGGTTACCAACTGTACTCAGTGGATCCGAACACAGGTTTCTCTAAAATTCGAATCCCTGCAGCTAAAGATGGGTCTTCCAGGACGACGTGAGAAGCGCTCAACAACCAATGCTTGCTACCCACATGCTTACAAAGGCTTCAGCACGTACTACCTCCGTGAAAGTAGGAAGAACCTGCCAAGAGGTGGATTCAGGCACGGCTCATGTGGCTCTAAGCTATCCCCATGATAACGCCCTCCTGGCCCCAAAAGGCGGGTCAAAGAGCTCCAGGCTTAAACCCACCACGGGCCCACCACTGGACCACCCCAATTCGACCCCTCGAAAAGCAGTTGCAAAGAACTACCTCTTTGCTTCCCCAAACTAAACACATGTTTGGTCTTATTTTGTGGTGAAACTTCAAACGCTGGGGTTCAAAAACAAACTCCTGGCTGAAACTCCAAATCTTGTAAAATAGGTTGCAAGGTGAACCCAGAGCTTCCAGTCACCACTACACTAGGTAACCAGGTATACCTCAAGGTCTTGCATGCCGGCTTCCCCCGGCAACCTACACTAATAACTGTAAGCACAGTTAGGGGTGAAAACACCGCCCATCCGCCCATCCGACTGGCCGTCGCTCCTGTCTTCCATGATGTGGCGCCGCGCGAACTGGTGGGGGTTGAAGACGAAGGGCGCATAGAGCCACGAGATGATGGTCAGGGTGATGCCTATGGCTGGTGTCCTTTTGGTTTCCCCTACGGATCTTTTCCCTTTTGCCCGATTCCCTCGTGGCGAAAATATGTTGGTGGATTCCCCGATTCCCGAGAGGTCGCTGGCTCGGCCTTTGTTTTTTGGCGGGCCCCCCAAAATGGTTGGTTTCCTTTTGGTTTCCCGTAAAAAGCAACCAACAGAGGGTTACCCCCAAAAGAAGCCACACCCAAGTGTGCATTCCTGAGCTTCCAGGAGGTCCATGCAACTTTCTAGGAGTCAAACGGCAAACCCAGCGATTCCAGTCAGACCTGAGCTCAGCCAAAAGCCAAACGCTGGGTCCAAAGTGACATCCAAATTTACAATACACGGGGTAAATTGTGGTTGAACCTGAGCCTACACGGTCCCTTCCAGGAAAAAAAAAGCACTGAGAACGGGCCCCTCAAAGGGGAACCTCTTGAAGGAAGCTGTTGCCAAAAGGCGGTCTGCGGTGTTTGTCACCGGTCGAACAACTTGTTCGGCCGTAAAAAGGGAAACAACCATCTTCCAGAAGGTCCAATTAACCCAGTTGCAGTCAGTGACCCTGGCAGAAAAAAGAAAAACAAAAAAAAACGGAACCCTTTTGGGATTCACAATTCTGGGTGTTGAGGGAAACCGCCAAGCAAACCGGGATACACAAATATTTAAATAGACTCCACCGGGCAACTGGGAAAGGGATTTCTTGGTGGAACCGTCAGTTTCAATACGGAACCCTGAAAAGTGGCTGGTCGAAATAATTCCCCTCCTACATGATGTCCACCAACATGGTCCCCCAATCTAGAATTCACATCCGATAAAAAAAAAGAAAACCCCAATAAAAAACAGCACAACACATCACCCCCCCAAGCCCCCCCAGTGGCTGTCGGGCCATCCTGAGGCAGCGGCAAAACCACAGCGCAAACAGGCGGCCGCCTGAGTCGTGTTTCGGAAAGCGTCGGGAAGGGCGGCGGGAGCTGCGCGTAACACTGGCGCTGCGTCTGGGATGTCCAACAACGGGAATCAAAAGCTGCAAAGGTTGGTTTTGGGCAAGTGAGTGTATTATATACTGAAACCGAATCAGAACATATGAATGTCGGTGCACCCCATTTGTGGGCCAAGGTTAAAGTCTAGTGCAGGTGTGTTTAGAAGTGCTTGTCCTGACACTGGTATGCGCGCGAACATGGATGCGCGGAATGACGTGTGCTTACCAACCCCAAAAATGCGCACCAAACACCTGCGTTGTGAAAAACGTCCTTCGAAGACCAGCCAAGAAACCAGAAACGGGAATATTGCCTACAATATACATAATATGTACATAGTTTGACCCCACATTCGCCCTGTGAAACATAACATAACCTAAACCACAAATAACGCCATACCAAAAACGACACACCCAAAATCTTGACAAACCACCCTGATCACATATCCTACATCCTGGCAACAAACCCCATGAAGTCAAACAAAAACCTAAAGTGACATGCCGAAAGGGGATGTTGGCAAAAAGTGGGCGGCCTCCCAAAATGGTGGCCTCCTTTCGTATTCCCTTGTGGTATGGTCCATGACTTCTTCAGGATACACCTGCTTGGATGTCTCATTCAGGATACACCTGCTTGGATGTCTCAAAAAGGAAACCGTTTCCAGGGTTTGAGTCCGGGTAGCCAAAAGAATGGAACCTTGATCCAGGTGGGCGCAAACAAGGGGGACCCATGTACAAGCGCCTCACATTCTTCCAAGGATCCCCAAACAACGCTGGCTTATATATATATAATAAAAAAGAAGAAAAAAAACACGGGGTGGCCTACAACGGACACGCCGAGCCACGATAGATGTTGTCCGCCTCCATCCCCCCCAGCTCCGTAACCATGGCGGCGGCGATGAGCAGCGTGAGCCCGTCGTAGAAGGCCTGGATGGCGTAGTCCAAGTAGAGACCTGCGGGAGACGCAGAGGCTCCGATCCCCGGAAGTGGGGTGGGAGCTCCTGCAAGGATGGGGTGGGAGGTCTGGCGGCTGATGGTTTATATGATTTATATGGCAAAGTTGGGCACGAAATGGGCTGCGTTTTCCTTTGGCGTCCCTCAAAAGAGCCACCAAAAAACGAAAAGGGGAACTTCTAAAGTGGTTGTCCGGAAATTCAATTGATGGGTATGTCACAAAACAGGGGAGCCCTCCAAAATCTGCTTTCCTTGTGGTGTCCGTTTCAAACAGCTCCAAGGTGTGTACCCTCAAAGAAGACACACCCTGATGAGCATCCCGAATGCTCCCAAGTAACAGGATCTTTCCATCGTGGCACATGTGGCTATGTGTTAAAACCCCGGTGCCCTGGTGAACACCCACAAAGTCTTCTAAAAAGACAACAGTGGAGTGGTAACTATCCACAAAGAGGCACCTTAACCATGTGGCTGTTTCGCAGCCAGCAGAGCAACCCTGGACGCATCCCTCTCGTCTCTGACCAGTCCACCTTCGTATTCGTCGCCCTTGCGCCGGATGAAGTGCCGGCGTTCGGTGGGGAGGCTTCGACCGGTGCTAATGTACTTGGCACCACCTGAGGCACAAACAAAGCAGACATCAAGATGGTCTACCCTACCCAATACCATGAAGACTCAAAAGGTTGGCTTGCATTTGCGTAAGTCCCCTGGAAGAAACAACTTATTTCTGATTCCAGCGGTGACATATTTCCTCCAAAACCAACAGGGGAGAAGAATAAAATAAATTTGTTTCAGCAAAAGGCGGAGATCGGCACCCATTGGGATTGTCTCGCCGTCAACACGCACACCTCCTGGACGGTTTTGGATGGTGGAAAAGCACAGAGACAATCTACCACGGGCGCCAAAAACTGCACATCAAAAGGAAACAAGGCCGCAGTGGCCCAATGACCCAATGCCGGGCCAGGAATTTTCGCTTCAGCGGGACATCACGACGGCTCCCATAACTCAAAGCCTTACAATGCCAGAACGGGTTTTCGGACACAGGAAAAATGCATTGGAGTCTCCATGACCCGTTCAAAATGGGGTCATTACCCAAAATTAAGGGTTTTGACCCCTTTTTCTAGCGGTCATGGAGACTCTCGGTATTCTTTTCCCACGTCCATCAGTGGTGCTCACTCCGTGACACTCCCGGATCCCTCCCCAGCCGAGCAGCCGTAGCGAAGCTCGTTGATCACCTCGAGACTGGTTTTTGGTCTTTGAACCTCTGCGAGTAATGTTGACCCCGGATTAATATACCCCTGTTTATTGATCTGGTTCCCGGTGTCCCTGGTTTTAGTGAGGATTTGTCCTTTTTGAACCCCCATATTAATAAACAGGGGTTAATTCATCCGGGGTCAACATTAATCTTAAATCAGGTTACCCTTCATCGCTTTGGATCGGTTTGGGAATTTGAACCCCGACTCAAGTCTCCGGGTTTGGCCAAGGAGCGTAGTACCCGATGATCTTGGCCTGGAAGACGAACCTCAGCTGTGATAAACTCAGCGTGGCAATGGGGAACGAGGGCAGATCGTCTGGGTGAATTATGATATTTCACCAGCCTGGAACTTGCAGTGGTTGGGAGGCTATTCCCCACATAAACCACCATTTAATTGTGAATTTGGTCGTGTGAGGTCGCTGTAATTCACCCAGATCGTCTAGGACCCTCTCAGGGTCTTTTTGAGGCCTTTGGAGGAAATCAAGATGACCACCTCATTCTCTCTATGCCTCATGACTCTTGAAGCACCCCACAACAGCAGTCCAATCATGGCACCTTGGATTGCTCTAAAGACGTTGGCACAAGGGTGGAAAGCAGCCCTCACTTCCTGAGTGGATTGGCCCGAAAAATGTCTAAACTTTCGCGTGCCACTAGCATGGTCTTCCCAAAAAGTCTAAAGTCCATGAACTCAGTAAGTGACTCCAAACCAAAAACCAGCGCCGGACTCCCCAGACATTGAGTTCAGCCGAGAAGCATGAGAAAAGACAAGGTGCACACCTGCTTCAGCAGCCTCTTGACAGCAACCTTGAAGCTCCTGTCGGATATGATTTTACGAGTCGGGAGGGGGGATCTGCCAAACCTGGGGTGGCCCAACGACTGAAGGGCATGTCCCTTTTCATGTTTTTTTCAATAGTGCGCTTTGATTCTGAATTCCGACCTGATGCAGTATGAATGGACTTGGATTTGGGATGGCAATTGAGTGTCGGAAGGTTTGGCAGCTCCCTCCTCTGGGCAAAAGGGGGAGCGCCACAAATGCTTAGCCCCGTCTGCAACAATTCTCAACGTTGCCTACGTATATGTGGCCTCCAAACAGCGCCCCAAACTACCAACAGCCATTAAAAAAAGGCCGAAAGTGTGATGAACCCACGCGAAATAGGAAGATGTGGGGAGCCAAGACTTCCCCATCCAATGTGAAGAGGGGAGGTCCTGGAGATGTGCCATTGCTGCCTTTCATGGTTTTATCTCCTTCATGCGAGATGGAAGCACATCATGGTTCAACTCCCTGGAATGTCAGTCAGCAACACCTTGCTCTTTGCAGCCCACTGCAGAAGAACAAGACCCAATCGGGCAACAAGTTTAAAACACAAAGCAGTAAAGTCCCCGTGATGGCAGGAACAAGAACTGCAACCCTTTTTGGGTTGCACCATTTCTAGTAAGCCAAAACCACACGGACTTGATGGGTGGCAGCCACGGATTTGGATGTTGCAACTAATCGGACAAAATAGTAGCAATTAGAAAACCTGAGTAAGGGGGATCCCCAAGATTGTGACCTACATCATGGTGAGCTCGTTCTTCCCCCGAATCTAACAAGCATGAAGAATTCCACAACGCACATATTCTACTAATGAAAGACTTCTTGAATTCTTGGTTGGCAAAGAAATGACGACTGAAGAGCTTACAGAGACAAATGAGAGTACAAAAAACTACATGCAAGGAAGAGCATGTCCACACTCCTCGTGAGAACCTAGAATTAGACATCCAGAACTGTCTCGACTGTGGTGTGTCTCGTTTCCAAGAATACCCACTACACCCAATCTCAAAGGTATCACTTTTTGAGAATTAGATAATCAAATACCCATGCAGGGAGGGACAAAAGACAATGACAATAAACTCATGTGCAAATATGTATGCGGAATAGATGTGCTATCTATGCCTCTTCTTGCATTCTTGTTAATATTTCATCCGTTCCTTTTATTTACCTTTCCTTTCCTATGAGTTTACTGTAATTCCAAAGGTCTGTGTGCATGGGAAAGGGAAAAAGAACCAGAGGCTGGCAACCCCTTGGCATCATCTATAGCGTGTTTGAGAATGGGACAAATCCTTGATCATGTCCTCCATCCTGTCGTCTGACCTATTAGTTCGCTGCATTCCACAGTCGCCACAGTCTGGCTTGTTAATCTGACATTTCTTGTATCGTGCGTGACCAACATCTTGGGGCTCTAGACCAAACAGTGTAACAAGAGTTGAATCCCAATCTTTATGTTCTTCCTTTGTGTCACGTTCACACCAAGAAACATCTAGACAACCAAAGCATTGGAATTCAGAAACCGTGTTTCTGACAGGGTGTGTTTCAGCAACTCAGACAAAAAAAAGGATAGCACAAACCGGGAAACAACTTATTATCTGTTAGCTCTGGTGCCTCTCCCCAACTATGTGCTTGCCTACTTTTGCGATCTTACCTGGACCACGTTTTGTTGAGAAGCTTATGCTTCTGGAGGAAAAACTAACAAACTAAGCAACCTTGAGAAACACTAAAACACAAAGACACAAACAAGTTAATAAACAAAAAAGAAAAAACACCGGGGGACATGCCCACTACCTTTGGTCTGGGGATTGTTTGTTTGGTGTTCTCCTCGAGGAGTTTGGGTTTCTCTGATTTGGCAATTTTCAAGTATCTCTCCCATGCAAAAAGCTCTCTCATGGCATCGGATGCTGCTAAGAAATTGCCGCAACGATTCTTATATTCGCATGTGTTTGCACTGTTTCCAGCGCGGTTCCCCATGTTTGCTTGCATTGCTTGCAGGTCATGATTTAGCCGGAGACCAGGTGCCTTCACTTGCACTTAAAGATAGGACGCTCGTAGGCAGAAAATGCGACCCAACAGTCAGTGGAATAATTGCAAACACTGTGATAAATGCCGGTGAAATATATTGGGGTATGGTTTGTTGTGTCTTTTGCAGGGTGGTGTAACTTTGTGAGGATGTGGTAAGCACTCCTATTTCCTAGAGAGGGCAGTGTCACGAGCACGTGCTTTTCCAATGTTCAAGTGGTATTGTGCAACTTCTGCGAAGAGTGGCAAGAAGAAGTGCCAGGATGTTGGATGCTTGTAGTTTGACAAACGCAATCTCATCATAATCCAAACACATCTAAAACCTGGCTGGACATATGCCAATCATGTACTGAGCGGGAAATACAATCAAGCTAAGCTAAACCAGTTTCAATGTACTTTAAATATGCCAGAAAACATGATTGGATAATGGAACGTATGCTGAACCTGTTAATTGGTGTGCAATGATTCGCAGACATGTTCCCGCATGTGAAAACACATGCTTGCATGCGTATTTAACGCCTCTGGGGGCACGGGCCTCTCTTAGAACCGTTGTGTTGTTTCCTGGGATTCTATATCAAATTCACATCAAATGAAACGAAGATGTCCTATCTCTTCCTATCTGTCATCCATCTGCATCCTCCAACCCAGTAGGATAGGATACGATTTGATTTGTCACGTCTCTACAGTCGTCAGCTCGAAAACAAGCAGAACTAATGCAGCAAACCCGCGGCACGGGTCTCCTCTCCAGCCATTCCTCTGTGAAGAGCGGAAGGGCCGTGGCCAGAAGCACTAGTAGAAGCAGCGCGATGGTGTAAATGCTCGACAGCATCCTGGCGATCTGATTCACCGACCCACCAAAGTCATTGGCGCATTGGTGTTGGGAATGAACCCACGGATTGTAAAGGAACCTGGGTTCGCGGTGATTCCAACCTATTCCCTGTCTAAAACCAAGTTTTTGGGCCTGACGTGAGGGCTTCAGGTCAGGTCAAATCATTCCTTTGGAAATATCATTCCAGGGTTGTCTCAAAGAAGGAATCGATCCATTTCCTATCAGGGCCAATCTTTGGTTTTCCTCTTCAAAAGAACTCATGATCTGAAATCCCGCCCCTCACCCAAGCCCAAGAATCCGGGTGGTTGGACCATGGCACTGATATAACTTCCTTCAAACCCCATCTGAATCCACGGCTGGATTGCCGTTTCGGACGTCTCGCGGAGTCGAATCTGTCGGCTCCTGCCCATGAGCTCCTGGGCCGGGCGCTTGGCGCAAGAGCCTTCGAAGGCCTCGAAGGCCAAGTCGCAGTCACAGGCCAAGATCAGCGCCCAGGTGTACAGCACCTATCGTTCGCACGGTCAGAAACGGGACAGCTATGGGTGGGGTCAGACTGTGGGGGGGAAACTGGACAATTCCCATCAATGTAGCTTGTAGTTGTATGTGTGATTTCTGTTAATGTTTTCTTCGGGGGGAGGGGGAGGGCCGGGAGATTCTCAACGTGTGTGTGTGTGTGGGTGGGTGGGTGTGTGTGTGTGTATGGGTTTGTGTCGGCGTGTGTGTGTGTTTGTGTTGTGTGTGTGTGTGTCTATGTGTCTCTGTGTGTGTCTCTGCGTGTCTCTGTGTGTCTTTGTGTGTGTCCGTCTTTCTGTCTCTGTCTCGGTGTCTCTGTGTATCTTGGTCTGTGTGTCTGTCTCACTCCGTGTCTCTGTCTTTTCGTATCTCGGTCTGCCTGCGTGCCTGCCTGCCTGCCTGCCTGTCGAACCCCCTTGTGGGTGGTGCTCCTGCGGCAATCGCTTGTTCAATTGAATTTGATAATAGGGAGAATGATGGTGCCATGAGTTTCTCATTTGATGTGGATTTCTCAACATGATGCACCGCTTGTTGGTTTCTCTACATGCGTGTATCCCTTTTTAGGGAACCTACTTTTGGGTTGGTGTTGAGGGGAAACAAAGAAACAAACGAGAAAACCAACCATTTTCCGGGAAACTGATTCCTTACTTGGTATACAAAGAGCTTGTTTGTTCATGGCAAATACATCTTACTTAGTTAGGTGTTGACGTGATACTCAAGAATATGTATTCTTAGTAGGGGGTGACAACACCCCTGGAAATGGCTTTGGTGTTCCGTTTAGTGTCCATTTAAACACACACACACACACAAAAAAAACAAACAGAAAGAACGATACCCCCCAAAAAACACCAACTTGGCAGACTGTGTTTCACTGGAAGTCAAAAGGAAAGGGCGACATGTTGTTTCAAGGGAGCCCAACAGTTTCCTCTCAACAAACATGGGTTCATGGTTGTTAGATTGTTTCCCAGCACGGTTGGTATTTGTTTCTCAACATGAGCCTCTTTTTGGTGAACCTCCGTCAGGCAGGTGGCTTTAAGGGAAACTTAGAAGGAGCCATAGCGAATTTCACGGGGAAGGGGGCAGCCGCCACCAGCGGCCCAGGTGAACAACAGTACCCACCAACAGCGCGTCTTGAGGTTAACAGCCCTGACCTTTTCACAGCTCTTGTTGGTGACTCCTGCCGTTTTAACGGGGATAACTGCCCTCTTACCTGTAAGGGATAACATGCCCTTCAAAAGGCCTCGTTGGGGTGAACATCCTGCAAGGGAGTGACGCGACGCAGGGGAAACGTCATTTAGGATAAATGTCTGCCAAGCACTTATCACAAGGTTCCCAACTAATTAAATTCCATAACCGATTTCAGAACACAACACTTCCGCAACACAGGGGAGAGGGGGGTTTCAGGTCTCCCCCAAAGAGAGACACCAAAAATGGTGCCAAAGTCCTGCTCACTTCCTTCGCCCAGAAAAAAGTAGCCGAACTTTGAATTTGGTCGAACCCAAGTTGCTAAAATCCAACCCAGGGAGTGAGCCTCTGGTTTGTGGCCTGGAAGCTTGGAACTTGTGTTTTCCAGAGCCCCCGGACCTGAAAAGTTAGCTCAGGCTGCGATTTCAAGTACTTGCCAAAAGTGGCGAGGTTTCAAGCACAACTCTTCTGCCAGGGGTCCTGCACTCAGACTGGGGGGGTGCTAAACCTGGGCTGGAGCAACAACGGCTTCCATGTGCATTGCCTGGGGTCCCGATTTTGAAGCAACCTTCTGTGAAGTGAGTGGGTGGGATAGAAACTGTAAAGCCACTTTTTGTTGAGTCAGCAAATGCAAAAATATCAAATGCGTACTCTCGTTATCTCACCATCTTTTGCTTCTTGGGATGTGTGAGTCCCTCTGGTGTGGGACTTCAGTCCCCATCCTGGATCAAACTCAGGCCTGGGTGTGACAGGCCTGATCACCAAATTATTGACTCATATTGCTGACATGTTGCATACTATACTACCACTACGTCCTTAGCATGTTGAACTCAAACCCTGGCAAATGAACTTCCCAAATCAAGCTCAACGTACTAAAGTCAAAGCGATCCATGCGGAATGGAGAGATGTAAGCTTTGGAGTCCGGCCCTTGTTCAAAGCTGTTTGTATCTACCACTTTGCTTTCAGTTCATTGTGTCTTGTTTTAGGGCCCAGGAAGTGGCAATTTGTCCATGTGATGTCCAATTGAAACCACCAAAAAAGGGGCACCATCAAACAAAGACACTCCCATATGCCTCGAAGCACCCCGGGTTTGTAGACACCCCTGCTGTTGGATGACTAGATACTCCTGCATTCAGGAGAGCGGCTGTTGGCATGACCCAGGACAGAAGGAACTGGGTCACATAGTAGCCGGCATGAGCGTAGTACCTTGCAACTCTCATCCAGTGGTCAACGATCAAAACTAAATATTGAACCCCTTTGCGATGGGCATTGAAAGGGGAGGCTAAACCACTAAACCACAAACATTGTTTTTCCTCCAAACATAGCCCTTGTACCTGGTGGGTTGATCAATATTCCCTTCGGCCCCAAAATAACCATGGGCAACTTATCCCATGTGGTGAACGCCGAATCTTTTTGGCGGCTTCCCATGCTTACCGGACCTTTTGAACAACTCCTTGGACAATGTTGGGGGCACCCGTGCGCCTAAAACACATTGACATGGGTCCACAACTTTCAAGAATATGATCCTTGCTTTGGGAAACCACCTGTCCAGCCTAACACGTCTGCGCAAAAACCGCATGAATAAGTCCGCCATCCGCAGTAACATGTAGTCTTGCTGAGGCACAGTTCACAACAAGTCAACCTGCCCCCCCCCCTCACTGTTAGTTGACCCAATGCTAAAGCAAAGCTAAAACTTAGTACCTTCGGCACTTCCCTTCTTGCAAATACATGTAAGTCCGAGTTGTATCTTGTAACTCAAGTCATGCCTTGTAAATGTTGAATTGACAAGTCCAAATAAAGTGCCTCGTCGAGAGAGTACGATCATGACGGTTTTCTCGCCCGGCAAAGGTGAGACCAAATTTGACCAAATCCATTTGGGCAAGACCGTAGCGAAAACTCCTGACAATCCCTGGGACTCGAATTCATTGGCGGGCCGACTCGGAGACCCTCTCAAATACCTCAGATTTGTTTCACTTCCCGACCAAACAATCAATATGCTGGTCCCTGTGAAGTGATCCTTGAGCTATGTCAGCTGTGCTTTGTGAAGCCGAAAAATGTCCAAGGCCTCAACGGTGGGGTACCCCTGATATATTCCGTAGTGAGACTATGCAGGGTACACATCAGGGGCTGCGTGGTCAACCGTTTAGACAAAAAGACCTCTCTTGCCCGTGACCAAGAATCGCAGGTTTCAGTCTGGCCCATGTTTGGTGAACCTTCACATGCTACCCAGACCCCAGGCAAGCCATAGTAAGACACCAGTAAATTGTCCTGCTGGCTTTTTGGGTGGTTTTCCCTTACCTACCCTGAAGGCCCTAGGATCGCAGGACCCGAAGACCCTAAATATGACGGCCTTGGCCCCCAAGACACCTCAAATAATATGGCTTTGGGACTCCAGTGTAGTATCGAGGCGGGCAAACTAAGAAAAGTCCCAGAATGCGAACATCGGATGGCTGTTGCCACTTCTTGTCAAATATTCCCAAACGCTCAGAAAGTGGCTTCTCAAAATCGGGGTCCCCCTACAAAATGGATGCTGTTTCTGTTGGTCACCTTTCACCAGCAAACAGAGGGTCCATTCTGAGAAACCTCCAAAAAGAGAAAAAACGATCCCAGAAAATGATTGGCTCCACCTCTCTGAGCCCAGCCACAGCGTGAGAGCGTCTGGCAATGGCATCAGCTGGCCAAGTCTGCACATCTGCCTGGCGCAACTGCATCCACCGAAACATGGGCGTGTATTTCTTGGAACCCTTTTCAGCACGGGAAATCAAATGGAAAGTTGGTGTGTCTCAATGGAAGTAACGAAGCCCAGAACAGTGAACCCCGACAGGGGGTGACCCAGTTAGGGGATGCGGCTCACTTGTTGAGGCTCGGTCCCCGTTCTTTCTTCTTTTTTTTTTCTGTCCAGGGAAATTCACCAGGAAAGCCGCAGTCATTTTTCCACTTCCGATCGAGTGCAAGTATATCCAAACTTGTTGCTTCCCACGAGAATGGTCCAAACCCAAGTGGCTAACCTCCAACTCTTGGAGGTTCCCCCCTCTTCCATTTGCTTAAGCCCCCTGAAAAAAAAACAAAAAAACCTCTCCAGTAGTGATCGATTCCATTCAAAACCAACAGGGAAAATAATTAAAAAAAAAAAAACAGAAACATATTCTTCAACAACTGGAAGCCCTGCCAACAGGGCCCCACCCCCGACGAACCAACCCCGGCTGCGAGCGCGGCAGCGATCGCCCGAGTTCGCGCCGTGTGAGGAGCTGCTCCCCGGAGCCGCTCGAGAGCTTCGAGAAGAACTTGAGCACCTGGACGCGGCAACCGCCGTGTCGTGTCGAGGGTGGTTTTGGGAGCGTGGGGTGGGCCAAAGGCGACCGCTCTGCAGGTTTTCACATGGAGCTGAACGCATGTATTTTCTTATTCTTCTTCTTCCAGGATTTGCATGGTGATTTCCGTATGGAGTTTGGAGATGTTCCAAAGGTAACACTAGGTGTACCTCTAAGATTTACGGGAGTTCCACCATGGCTTAGCTTCTCGATGTATGTGTCAAAACAGGAATCGGAACCACCAAATGGCTTCGGTCTTGCCGCTTCCAAACCCCAAAAACGGTACTGTGGATGCAACCTTGAGCAACCTTTGGCCGCAAAATGGGGGGAGCCAATCCCATTTTCTGGAGGTCAAGGGGAATCCTCTTGGTGGTTCATATTAGTGGAGGTCAGGGAGTGGAAAACCCCATCTAGCCGGCCTCAAATCCCCAACCAAACCAATCCACCAAATCTCATGACAATATTTGTGTGCATCTACCCAAAGGGATTTAGAGGGATTCTACTGAACAAGCTGGGCATGGATGCTCCGAGTAAAAAAAAAGAAAGAACAAACAAACACTTTAATCCCTTTTAAAATTCGCCGACCCCGACCGAGTCTCAGACGGTTGCTTGACTTCCCGAACCCCCGAGCTCGGCACTGCATTGAAGCCCAAATCTCGGCCCTTGGCCAGGTGAAAGTACTCCTGGCGAATAGCAAGCTTAAGGCACTGGAAGAGTTAGTGGTTGGAAGCCATGGCCAACTTCTCCCTTGGATTGGCCAAAGCAAGCCAGAACTTTTGTTTACCACGAAAATGGTCTTCCCAAACACAGTATAAAGCCCAGGATTCAGGAAGTGAGACTTAGATAACCGGCTTACCATGGTTGCCGGCTAGGCAACCTCAGGCGACTTACGATGGCTTTGCTTGGTGGCGTTGCCTACTAGCCTACCTGACGTCCTTGTTCAAGAAACACACCCCGAAGAAGGGGTTCATGATTCGTGGGGAACCCAAACAAATGAAACAGATTTCCCAAACGAAACTTTGAACAAATGGGCGAAGGGACGGGGCCAAACGGTTAAAAGGGGCATTCGCGGTGCTTTCAACTGAGGGAACCCTCTTTGGGGACCGTTCCAAGGTGGAATCCACTGAGCAATTGTCGCTTCTGTTTCAATTTGTGAGCCAAAGAGCTGTATACCCGATCTCAAAAACAAGAAAAGAAGGAATATGGGGTGAGGTTGCAACCAAACCCAAACAATTTGAGTCCGCGATGGTTTGCCCCAGCTCAACCCGATTTGCACGCAAAATGCGACCTCAACCTCAGCCCTCGACAAACCCCAGTTGCGTCTGTGTTGAAGCGCACCCTTTGTGGGGTGATGCTAGAACGAAATGCACACAACACTTGTTTGAGGGGGATTGTTGCACAGATGGCTTGCACGGATGCTTCAATCTCCCTAAAGGGAAGGGGATGGCACGCCTTTCTTTACATTCCCTCTGGTACTGCTGGCTCCAAGATGGTATGCCCTTTTTGTAGGAACCCCAACAATAGTGAAGCTCCCGTTGCATCAAAGACTCCCCAAAAGGAAACAAACAGGTACCATCAAAACACGACACAACCGGATGGACCGGAATCCAAAACGTGAGGTCAAATGGAGGTTGGGGAAGATTGTTGCGTTGAAGGCGTCTGGATACTTGTTCATGTTGGTCGAGGTGCACCAAATGCAACAAAAACACATTAGATTGCTTGTTTTCATTTTTTGTTAGGATAGAATTTGAAGTGCTGGTTGCGGCAGCTGCTGAGAGTTTGAGGCCCCCAGAATCGAGCTGAAACCGCCTCGGAGGATGACGTTGCTTTCGTGACGGTGACTTTCAAGCGAAAACCAGAAGGAGCACCAAAGCCGTGCTGGTGGATTCCCTGTTTTCAGGCACACCCAGGCTTCCTCGAGGTGAATTTTCATCAAACGCGAGGAACAAAAGCGGCTCCTGGACCGCCTCCAGATGCTCAACATAGAACAAGAACAGACCCCCCCAAAAACGCACTTCCCATAGGTGTCCTTTTGGAAAAATAGATGTCGGAAAATGGAATCAAACCAATCTAAACCAGTGGAACCCAACGATTTCTATTAAAACCAGACCAAAAAAAAACACACCTACGGCACTTCCCTTTTGCCTTCAGCGCAACCCCAAAAAACCGCCGAAATCCATCAAACGCGCAGCCGCACCCGGTGGCAGATCTCGCGGCCGTCCGCACGCAGAGCGAAGTCCAGGCCGGCGAAGATGTCCTCCGAGAGGTTTAAGGTCCTGGTCAGAGCGGCCAACACCTACCTCCATTTGCTTAAGAATATTCTTCCCCTGCTGGTTTTAAAGGGAATCTATCACTAATTTCTGGAAATGTGATTGAAAAAACAATTCCAGGCGGCTTCACCCACTGTGGATGGACGAAATCCGATTGCACCACCCAATAACCAGAACTCGGTTGCTTTCTGCTCCCCTGCTGAAAGTGAATAACTTTTAGTGGTTTAATGGAAAACCCATTAGTTGGCAAAAAGTTAAAGTCCTAACATCCAAGCAACATGCACCAAAGATAAAACCATTGTCCGCCGACATTGCTCGGCGTGTCGGATACTTCCTAGAGGATAGAGGATAACCCCCCCCCCCTACCCCCCCCCGCCCGACGTCTATTACGTAGGTTTTTTTTTGGGGGGGGGGGGGGGGTCCCCCACGTACCGCGCGGCAATTTGATGACGTTCCACTAAACGTAGTCTTCGGGGAGCCGGTGTCGCAAAACAGGGGTCCCAGGCGCGATTCCCCCTGCCGGCTTTTTTGCTGGCTTGGGCTTCCTGCATCCTTTTGCCGAAAATCTGGAAAAACTCAATGTTTTTGGAAAAACGAATTTTACACATGCATGGGAATACAACATACACAACATACAACATACATACATTACATACATACATACATACATACATACATACACATACATACATACATACATACATACACATACATACATACATACATACATACATACATACATTACATACATACATACATACATACATACATACATACATACATACATACATACATACATACATACATACATACATACATACATACATACATACATACATACATACATACATACATACATACATACATACATACATACATACATACATACATACATACATACATACATACATACATACATACATTACATTACATTACATTACATTACATTACATTACATTACATTACATTACATTACATTACATTACATTACATTACATTACATTACATTACATTACATTACATTACATTACATTACATTACATTACATTACATTACATTACATTACATTACATTACATTACATACATACGTACTTACTTACTTGCTTACATTACATACATACGTACATACATACATACATACATGCATACATACTTATGTACATGCATGCATACATACGAGAGAGGGAGATTGGGGAGAGAGAGGCTTGGGGGGATGGGAAGGATGGGAGCAGAGGGAGGGAGAGAGGACGACAGAACACACAAGGGAGACAAGGAAGAGAGGAAAAAGGAGAAAAGGGAGAGGACAATGTCGGCGGACTGAGCCGGAGGCTCTAAAGTTAGGGGGCAAAAGATCTTAGGGAGGAAAAGGGACAAGATCTGAAAAGGCCTTCGGGGGGAAAGGGGAGGAAAGGATCTCAACAGGGAAAGGGAGAAAAGATCTCAGTGAGGAAAAGGGAGAAGATCTTGGGGGGAAAAGGCCTTAGGGGGGAAAGGGGGGAAAGGATCTCAACCGAAAAGGGGTGGGAAAAGATCTTGGGGAGGAAAAAAGGCCTTAATTAGGGGGAAAGGGGGGAAAGGATCTCAACAGGGAAAGTGGGGAAAAGATCTTTGGGAGGAAAAGGGAGAAGACCTTGGAGGGAAAAGACCTTAGGGGGGAAAGGGGGGAAAGGATCTCAACAGGGAAAGGAGGGAGCAGATCTTAGCGTGGAAAAGGGGGGAAGATCTCGTAAAGGAAAGGCCTTGGGGGGGGAACGGGGAAAGGATCTCAAGGAAAGGCCTTACGAGGGAAAGGGGGGAAAGGATGTCAACAGGGAAGGGTGGCAAAAGATCTTAGGGAGGAAAAGGGAGAAGATCTCAGGGGGGGGAAGGCCTTAGAGGGGAAAGGGGGGAAAGGATCTCGACAGGAAAGGGGGGAGGACTAGGGAGAAGATCTGGGGGGGAAAGGCCTTGGGGGGGAAAGGGGGGAAAGGATCTTGACCGGAACCGGGAAAGAGGGGAAAGATCTTAGCGAGGAAAAGGGGGAAGATCTTGGGGGGGAAAGGCCTTAGGGGGGAACGGGGGGAAAAGATGTCAACAAGGAAAGGGGGGAAAAGATGTTAGGGAGGAAAAGGGAGAAGATCTGAAGCTGGACGCAACTGGAACATCATAAGCAACCCGCAAAAGCTTCAGATTGCTTGCCTGAAGCTCGCACGATGGCTGCTCCCTAGCAGTTTCGCTTTGGACGAGGAAGGCACACACGCGTGTTGGCTGAGCCAAATGTTTCGTTTTCGAATACCGGGCTTCGATTAAAACTCAACATACATCACTTTTTTAGGAAGGGGGTGCTTCTTCATGGGTGAAATGTGGTTGGAATCACACCATTTTTGGGGGCCAAAGACCACCCTATGAGTTCCGGATCTTTTTTCTTGACCTCCCTTGTATTCCGCCCACTGGTCGACATCACGAAACAACACAAATCACCACAACGGTCGCAGGGGCATGGGGGACGGACTTGGGCCAACGTCACCGGGCACTAAATTGGCTTTCGCATCCCAGCGTAGCCTGTGACTGTGTCCCAAGGACGCAACCCAGAGGGTCCGATATTGACAAATATCAATACAAATACTTGATTTCAGTCGGATATCAATCTTGTGATTGCTTTGGGCCCAATTTCAAGAATTTCACCGACTGGCTGCTTTTACAACTGAATATCGAGAATATGTTGATTTTGTTGATGTGCATTGAACTGCCTGGCAATCGCCTTGCGAAGTTCCAGAAGGATTTGTCTTTTTGCAAAGCTCTGATGAACTTCAAAAGCTGGTTCTGACAAGGCTCCAGACACTGACCTTGCAAATCTCAAGAAATGTTGGGCCTGACAAGGCCCCAGCAACACAACGGGCCTGACAAGGCTCTAAAAACACGGGTGCTAAAGCTTCAGAAATATTGGGCCTGACAAGGCTCCAGGAACACATTGCGCCTGACACTTCGGAGGCCTTGTAAGGCTCCAAAGGACTGGGCCTGGCTACAGAAACATTGGGCCTGGTAAGGCAGAAACATTGGGCCTGGCAAGGCTCCAGAAACATTGGGCCTGGGCCTGGCAAGGCTGCAGAAACACATTGGCTTGGCAAAGCCAAGGCCAGAAACACTTTCCTTTTGGCAAGGCTACAGACACATTGGGCCTGGTAAGGCAGAAACATTGGGCCTGGCAAGACTACATTGGGCCTGGGCCTGGCAGCTTGGGCCTAACGGCTCCAGAAACACTTTGGCCTGGCAAGGCTACACAAACATTGGGCCTGGGCCTGGCCCAACAAGGCTCCAGAAACGCAAGGCTAAAGAAACATTGGGCCTGGTAAGGCAGAAACATTGGGCCTGGCAAGGCTCCAGAAACATTGGGCCTGGTAAGGCTCCAGAAATTGGGCCTGGCAAGGCTCCAGAAACATTGGGCCTGGTAAGGCTCCAGAAACACGTTAAGCCTGCAAGGCTCCAGTGACCATGGCCTGGCAACCCAGAAGCACATGGCCTACATGGCTTGCCAGAAATTGCCTGCGATGCAGATCTTAAAAACACCTAGCACTGAGGACTACTTGCTCCACCTTTAGCTTTGGCCCAAAAGCCATGAAAAGAGGTGGCTCTAGGGATGTGGTTGACATTGCTGATGTGGTGGATCTGTGGCTGGACCTTGCCCGGCAACAGGATGAACTCTTGAAGTTTGGGGAGTACAAAGGCCTGTGGGCTGAGTGCAGTTGCAGGCCAGACATCATGAACCTAGTTAATGTGTGCTGGTCCTTGTCCAAAGTAAGTTCTTCACTCAATGTGATGGTGACCTGAAGGATTGCCTCTGCTGCTGCTCCTGTTGCATCCTGGCCTTCATTCTGGTTGCTGCAATGGGGATGGGCTTGTTGGGGATGGCGATTCTGTGAGTGGCTCTTTTGCTGTAGCCTCACAAGTATTCTCCTTGTTTGCCTCCTTCTGCTCCTTGTCCTCTTCTGCTGTAGCCTCATGCGTTTTCACATCCTCTTTCACATGGTCCCTGCTGCTGCCTCCTTCTGTGCCCTCCTGCCACTGCTGTGTGTCTGGCTGGTTTTGAGGCACGTCTTTGGCTGGTGTGGCTGGTTCTGGGGCCATGTCTCTGGCTTCTCTGGCTGCTCCTGCTGCTGCTGCTGCCGTCATCCCTTATTGTTTTCCTTCTGATGTCACCCCAGCTTTGGATGCCCTGGCTTCCCTTGATTTCTTTTTCTGGCACCTGACTTTTTTGGCCATTGCCACTTAGGTGCCATATTGGCTGGAGCCAACAGCTGCAACTGCATGACCTCACGGGAGCACAGCAAAACCCTGAATGCCAAAACACTTGAGCAGTCCAAGCCAGTTCATCCTTTGCAATGCCACACTGTTTTTTTCACACCACTTTGCTGTCTGGCTTTGCCAATCTTTTTTTTGAACTGCCTGGAACCTTGCCAGGCCCTGTCCTGGAGCCTTGCCAGGCCCAAAATGCGCTAGGCGCTTTGCAGGCGCCACGTTTTTCTGTAGGCTTGTCAGGCTCCATGTTTCTGCAGCCTTGTCAGGCCTGTTTCTGGAGCCTTGGAAGGCCCAATGTTTCTGGAGCCTTGTCAAGCCCAATGTTTCTGGAGCCTTGTCAGGCCCAAGTTTCTGGAGTGTTTGCAGGCCCAATCTGGAGCTTCGCAGCTTGGTTCCATGGGGTACACCCAGACCATGAAGGCCTGGACTTGCCCAAAGAGGAGGGCTTTGGCTGGCACGCCAATTTGTGGCAAGTCTGCCATGAGATGTATCATTTAGCAAGCATTCTCTTGAATATGGCTTGCCAAGCTACAGCTCCAAGAGCCCTTGCGTGAGATGCAAATGCAACAGGTCCACTGTTCCTTGGAATGATTTCACACCTTCAGCCCTGTGGAGATCTACATGTTACACACCAGCTGATGCCTATGAAACGCCATTGACAAAGCACTGGTGGTGTCAACCACTGGACATTTGCATATGACTTCATGCATTGCGCTGATATCGGTTTCTCCTCTTCCACTGTGGCAAATATGCTGTACGATTTGGTGTTTAAACATTTAGAAGGCAGCAAACCCCAAAAGGTTGCTGCTGTCATGGAACTCATTAACCAGGCCTACCAGAGCTTGGGCATTACCGGTCGAAAATTCTGAGGTTGTCTTTGTCTTCATTTGCAGATGCTCAGGCACCTCACCAGCATTACCCTGCCTTGATGCACTCAGCCATCAAAGCCAAGCAGACAGCCAGGCTCGTTCAAGTCTGTGCAAAGCTGGCCAAGGACTACAATGATGGCTCTGCATACTGTACTGCAAACACAGGCTTCATTGCTTTCAGAACTTGGCCAAGCTATACACCATATGTGACCAAGCAGGCCTTTTCTTTACAAGGGATGAGAATGGTGCTTATTCCAAGGCGAGCGCAAGGTTTCTGCAACACTACTCAGCCTTGAGCAAGTTGAGTTTCAATCACACTGCATCTAGGGTGGGGCAGTTTCAGTCGTCTGAGACACCAAAGCTGCATTTCCAGGAGCACATTGCAAGTGACAGCAAGTTCTTGAACCCAGCATCAGTTTGGTGCTACCCAGGAGAACACTTGGTTGGCTCTGCTACAAAGCTAGCGTCTGCTTGCTTAGCTGGACTGCCACCATGGCAGGTCTCCAGCACCATTTGTAGACAGTACCAGCTGGGTAAGCATTTGCAGTTCCTGCAAATGGATTGAAGTCATGCTCTGTGTGCGTGCCATAATGGGCAGTCTGCAAGAGCTTGCAAGTTTGGCAAAGGCAGTGGTGCATTGAGCCTTGTCCTCCAGCATTTGGGCCTGCTAAGGCTCCCTTGGGCCTGCAAAGGCTCCAGCCCTTGGCCTGCTGAGGCTCCAGCACTTGACCCTGCTGAGGCTCCAGCACTTGTGCCTGCCAAGGCTCCGACACTTGGGCCTGCTAAGGCTCCAACACTTGGGCCTGCTAAGGCTCCAGCTCTTGCGCTTAGCTTCCCAAAGCTCCAGCCCTTGGGCCTGCTAGGGCCTGTCAAGGCTCCCTTGGGGTTGCAAGCTTAAAACCCTTGTTTTATACCAAAAAACCAAGGTTTTAGCCAGGCCTGGGCATGAAGCTTGTTAATATTTTTGTTGAACTGTGTATTGATGATTGATCGAAAATCACTAACAACTTATTGATTTTTCCATCCAATTATTGATGTTGATTTTTGGTTGATTCTTTTCAATATCGGACCCTCTGGGAAAGAGGTTTTTCCCTGTAAACCAGGCGACTTTTTAGGGGTATCTTCCCCGTGCGAGACGGTCTTCTCAGGACCCTCCAACTTTCTGCCATGCTCAGCTGCCCTTCTCGAACGCCACCTCCTGGCGGTTCGTTTGGCAAGTGGCCCTCTCCTTTTGAGTTGTCTAAGTGGTGCCCGTTTCTGGGTTCTCTGAAGGCAGCGGGAGGTCAAACCACTCTGCGTTTGACGAATTTGGCCCATTGGCAACCAAAAATGTATTTCTTGCAGCCATGCTGTTTCCACAAAATGAACGCATCCAGAATCCATCCCCCAAAACGCCTGCCCTTGGTGGGTTTGTGGGAGAGAGGCCATGTTGGCGCAGTCAAAGGGCAAGACTATTGAAGTAGGAAGCCACAATTTTGCATCTCACAATTGCAAGTGACCACGGGCCCCCCAAACCCTCTCCTACGGCCGGCGCAGAAGCAAGCCCAACGCCGGGCTGGCCGCCGGCGCCGACAAGCCGGCGGAATTCGAACAGCGCGATGCCGGTTGCTGTTTGATAGAAAACGTTGCACGCCACACATCCTCACTTGCTGTATTTCGTCAAATGACCACACAGGGTCTCTATAGACGGTCTTGGGTGTTGGGAGCGCTCTTCAAACAAAGGCCCTCTCACAGCTCCTATCGAAGATAGAGGTTCTTCGCAATGTTCTGTAGAAGTCGCAGGCAAGATTCGTGTGGAAGGATCCTTGCAGAAGCAGCCGGCTTCGGGCTGGCCGGCTTGGCCGCTGCCTTGGCCCTGGCCCTGGCCACCACGGCGCCCAGCATCCGCGCGGTCAATGAAGTCGCGAATGTCAAACCACTCGGCCACCGTGGTGAAGTGCCAAGTGTTGTCGGCCTCATGCACCTCCTCGTACTGCTCTGTCTCCTCGCACCAGTGCCAGGAGGCGCCATTCTGGGACCACTGCTTGAACGTGAAGACGGTGTCGATCTGAACGCGGAACCCTCTACAAGTTCTCAGCTCAGGGTTTGTAGAGAGCTGCAAGATCTCTCGAAGATCTCTATACAGAACCTTGCTTGCGAGAAGATCTTTACACCATCTCTGCGCAAGATCTCTGGTCGGGCCTCCTTATACGGCGCGCTGAGCAAGCTGTCTCCATCCTGCGCGTGGTCTCTTGGAAGGAAAATCTTTGCAGGTCTTGCGCAGGACCTCATAGCAAATGTCTATGAAGGACGTGTAGGACATCCTTGCGATGATTTTTACAGGCTCTCGCAAAAAGGGCGCCCGGAAATGCCTGGGTGAGATCTCTTGGTAGGGTTGGCAAGATTTGCTCACATTCTTTTTAGGGGGTCCGCAAATCTTTGCACGTCCCGCAAGACCTCCACCGGCGCACTATCTGTGGGAGATCACTTGACAGGGTCGCCCGGCAAGAATCGGTTGTAGGATTTTTCACATCCCTGCGCAAGACTCTTGGGAGGATCTCTATGCAGGACCAGCGCAAGATATCTTAAGGTTTCTAATCTAAGCGAGGTTTGCGCGCAGCATTCAAGATTTGTGCACAGGGTCCATGAGAGGAGAAAAGGGAGAAGATCTGAAAAGGCCTTAGGGGGGAAAGCGGGGAAAGGATCTCAACCGGGAAGGGGTGGGAAGAGATCTTGGGAAGGAAAAGCGAGAAGATCTCAGGGGGGGAAAGGCCTTAATTAGGGGGAAAGGGGGGAAAGGATCTCAACAGAGAAAGGGGGGAAAAGATCTTAGGGAGGAAAAGGGGGAAGACTTTGGAGGGAAAAGACCTTAGGGGGGAAAGGGGGGAAAGGATCTCAACAGGGAAAGGGGGGAAGATCTCGGGGGGGGAAGGCCTTAGGGGGGAACGGGGGGAAAGGATCTCAACAGGGAAAGGGGGGCAAAGATCTTAGAGGGGAAGGGGGGCAAGGGGAGAATTCCAAAGGGACGCAAATAGGAAAGCAGGCCTGTAATGTCGGCGGCCTGAGCCGGAGGCGTTAAAATATGAGGCCCGGTGACCCCAAAACACCTCAAAAGATAGGGTCTTGGGACACTCGAGTATTGACTTTGGGGTCCAACAGGGATTTTAAAGAAATATGCAGGCTTTACTGTCTTCCCACTGAAGCCAGGTACAACCATCTAATTGCTCCAAAGGCCGAAACTCCCGACCTAGGGCCATGGTCCTAGGGGGTTGGGGGAAACGCCCAACCTCCCGGAGTGTTTCCCCTTGAAACTTGAAAAACCCTCTCACCTTACAATTTTGGCGGGATGTTTCAAGCCAACAGTTTTGAGGGTTCTACCTCAGAGTGAAATTCAGGGGATCTTCTTTTGGGGAAAAATCAACGACTGGGTATCTGCGTCTACCTTGTAGTCCAAAAATGAAGCCCTGTTGACCGGGTTGATGCTCCCGTAACCCTTCCAGGTAGGCTGAAAAACACGGCGACCCTGAGGGGAAGGTTCTTAAAACCTTCCAGCGCGTGTGGACCTTGGTCTCTTCCTGGAGTCCGGAAGACCTTGCCTTTCCCCATTGAGTTGTCCCTGCCTTGTGCCTTTGGACACGCCGCCCTGTTGCATCATGTACCTTGCAAGAGGGCGGGTGTCTGTGCTTTGAAACAGCTGACCGTTTTCAGTGTTAGGCGTTTCGAGTCATGACTCACTTCGGAAAAGAAATTCATGGGGCCCGCCCCATTGTGCAAGCCCTTGCGACGCTGCTGCTACAACCCTAGTCGGCACGGCACTGACTGCCTGTGGGTTTCTTCGCCCCAATGCGACCCATTCGACTCCTAACTACGGCTATCGACCTGCGTGTGTTCGTGAGATGCGGATGGGAATCGATTGTTCCCCGATGGAACTTTCATGGGACTCCTTTTTTGCCACCTCCGAAACTCGCGTTCCTCGAGGTGGAGAAGCGGAGAGGGCCAGCCTATCGAACCGTGCAACCCCAAATTATTGTTCCCCGGACGTCATAGCATGTTTCTTCTTTCCAGACGAAACAAACAAAACCAAACACACAGCACAGTATAACTCACTTCCGATCGAGTGGACTGGCCAAAGAAAGCAACTAAAATTGTTGTTTACCACGAAAATGGTCTTCCCAGAAAGTGTTTAAGTCCATCAACTCAGGAAGTGAGGAAAAACAACGGTATTTAACAAAAGTACGGTGCCTGACCACCTCTTGCAACGGGGGGAATGCATTGCAGGATACAGCAAGTGCAGCAGGGGATACACAGCGTCTTGCGGGCGTGCACATGTGGTGCAAGTATGCGCGCAGCTCGTGTCAGTACGTGTCACTTGCGTGTCATTTGCGTGTGACTTGCGTGTCACTTGCGTGGCAACTGCGCGTCGCCTCACTGCGCTTCAAGTGCGGGTCACCTGCGTTTCACTTGCGTGTCAGTATGTCAAACTAACGGCAGATCGCTGAACAAAGCGGTAATGTCAGGAGACGATTAGTAAACCCCCCCTGATTAAAGGTTTCCCCTTTTCCCCCCCAGGCTCCAACCAACACCATTAATTAGTTACTAATCAGTTGTCACCATTAATTGCTTTTCCCTTGTCACTTGTCACGGCGTCTTGGCGACACTGTACGCGTATCACTGCTTGCACGTGTGGCCTGAGCCAGGGCTGCAGAAGGCCGCGCTCCCCATCTGTAACCCATGTACAGAAGGACATGCGCTCGGGTTTTGGTTCGGGAAAAGGCAATAATTTGGCTAAGTACTGCTCTTCTATTGAAATAGGGACTACCTGCAAACTTCTACATGTACGGTTGTCATTCGTTTTTACAGAGGAATACGGTTGTGGGAGGATGCTGGGAGGAGACCTCACATTCCCGACTCTATAACGATCAAGTTCTGTCCATGCAAAAAAAACAACAACAACATATGGCCATAGGTCAAAACCCCGTAATGCCAGCGAACATCCCAATCCCCACTAAAATGGGTTCTAAAATGGGTGGTGCACCGAAAACCCTCAAAATGGGACCCCATTGGTTTGGACCCACGGCCAGGTCTTCGTTTCGGCCGAGGCGCTGCTTGTTCATGAGGTCCGGATGTCCGTAGTGCATCCGCGCCCCCAGGGTGGCGTAGGAGCGCTGCAGCAGCGTGCAGAAGGCCATCTCCGAGCCCGCGGCGAAGTCCCCCACGGAGCCCAGGTCGCCTGGTGGGTGGGTGAATCTTGGGGGGGGGGGAGTGAGTGGGGGGAGGGAATGGTGGTGGGGGAGGGGATGGTGGGGGAGGGGATGGTGGGGGCAGCACAAGGCTGGTGTAACTTCAACTGTTCGGGCTGGGCAGCCCTCCAAACACAAGGGACAGCTTGGGTGCCCTCCAAAAAACAAAAGCATATGTTCTTCAAATGCTCGTTATGCCGTGACTGGATGCACACTACGAGGCAGTACCAGTAGGGGCGGATGTGCTTATTATGTCGTGCGTGGATGCAGGCACGCTACAAGGATGTAATTTTGATTTATGTTGTTAGTATTACTATTCCTATTGATTAATTGTTATTACTACCTGGAGCACCCTTCGTTACCTAAATTTCTGCCCTTAGCCCAAACGTATTGCAAAACCAGGGGTCGTCACCGAAATATGGGAAACGTACACTTCTTCCTGCTTCGAGCGTTTTTTGCAAAACCGGGCTGGTCGGTCCTCCAAGATGATCGGTCGTTGAATGTTCGAAAGGAGCGAGCAGCAATCCAAGTGCAAAACAAGCGCAAATATCCGCAAAACGAGCGCAAATATCCGCAAACGAGTGCAAATCTAAACTTACCCCTTAAAACTCCAAGCCCTGGGGAAGCTAATCTTTTACAGACATATAGCCCATGCTACCGAAAAAGTTGAAAAGTTGTGTTTTTAAGAGGTAAGTAAAAAAACGTAACAATGCCCTCCTTCCTCTGGATTTTCGGGGGGCGAGCGTTTTTTTGGGGGTCGAGCAGAAATTGGTAATTCGAGTTTTTTTTTTTTTTTTCTCGTACCTAACAAAAGGCAGGTTGAGTGCCTCGGGTATTGATTACTATTACTATTGATATTGACGTTGTTAGTCTTATTATTTGTCATTATTCGTGTTTGTAGCAGTATTGAGTTTTTGGTAGCATGATCATGGCGTGCGTAAACCCTAACACCAAGCAACATATCGCTTCTTTCAGCCCGCTTCAAACGCCGCCCAAGACTTGTGCCGTCCCTTCTACAACAGCCCCAGATTCAAGCTCAATTGTTCTTGCACCTGGCTGCTTTTTCCGCCAGTGAATGGATTGCCCTAGGTCACAACTGCCCCAGAATCAACAATGGCAGCAAACGCACCATCCTCATCAGTTGCTTGGATCTGCTGAACATTCCTCAAATGCTCTTGCACCTGGCTGCTGTCTCCGCCATATTTGGAATCACCCCAGGTCACAACAGCACCAGACTCAAGAATGGCAGCAAAAGCTCTGTCAGTTGCTTGGATGTGGTGGACATTCCTCAGCTGCTCTTGCACCTGGCTGCTGTCTCCGCCCTTGTCTGCACTACCCCAGGTCACAACATCTCCAGATTCCAGAATGGCAGCAAAGGCACCGTCAGTTGCTTGGATCTGCTGGACATTCCTCAGCTGCTTTTGCACCTGGCTGCTTTCTCCGCCGTATTCTGGATCACCCCAGGTCACAACAGCCCCTGATTCAAGAATGGCAGCAAACGCACAGTGATTTGATTGGATCTCCTGGACGTTCCTCAGCTGTTCTTGCACCTGGCTGCTGTCTCCGCCATATTCTGGCTCACCCCAGGTCACAACAGCCCCAGATTCCAGAATGGCAGCAAAGGCACCGGGAGTTGCTTGGATCTGCTGGACATTCCTCAGCTGCTCTTGCACCTGGCTGCTGTCCGCGCCGGATTCTGGATCACCCCAGGTCACAACAGCCCCAGATTCAAGAATGGCAGCAAAGGCACCGTCATTTGCTTGGATCTCCTGGACGTTCCTCAGCTGTTCTTGCACCTGGCTGCTGTCTCCGCCGTATTCTGGCTCACCCCAGGTCACAACGGCGCCGGACTCAAGAATGGCAGCAAACGCACAGTGATTTGATTGGATCTCCTGGACGTTCCTCAGCTGTTCTTGCACCTGGCTGCTGTCTCCGCCATATTCTGGATAACCCCAGGTCACAACACCCCCAGATTCAAGAATGGCTGCAAAAGCACCGTGAGTTGCTTGGATGTGCTGGACATTCCTCAGTTGCTCTTGCACCTGGCTGCTGCCTCCACCGAATTCTGGATCACCCCAGGTCACAACAGCCCCAGACTCAAGAATGGCGGCAACAGCAAAGTCAGTTGCTTGGATGTGGTGGACATTCCTCAGGTGCTCTTGCACCTGGCTGCTGTCTCCGCCCCTGTCTGCAATTCCCCAGGTCACAACAGCCCCAGATTCCAGAATGGCAGCAAAAGTACCGCCGAGGCGTGCTTGGATGTGCTGGACATTCCTCAGCTGCTTGAACACGTGGCTACTGTCTCCGCCGCATCCTGGATCACCCCAGGTCGCAACCTCGTGACCATGCCAAGCGAACGCCCTGCTTGTGGAAGCCAGTTTGTCAAGCTGCACAACCGCATTCACCACATCCCCATCTCGCAACCCGGCCTCACTCAGCGTGGCCCTCAAATCGGGCTGCTGGCCTTTCGCAGTGAGCTTCAAGCGGCGCTGGAAATGCTGCTGCGCGGCAGCCTTCAGCTCGCTGATGGGTGTCTCCGGTGAGACTGCTATGGAGAAACCATCTCCACTAGGTAAATAGACATCCACATGCATGGCGCGACAAGGTTCTTCTGTGTGCATTCAAGTCGCCAAATACGAACCTGAGACACGAACCCTTTTGAGTGGCTTTTGAAAAATCAACCATTTGCAAGAGGTACAGTAGTCCCAGGACACAAACATGCAAGGAAAGATCATTCATGGGTCTTGGAACCGTCCCCAGCTGCAAAGTTTGCTGAAGCCGAGATCGATTTCCACTGCGCAACGTCTTGACCAAGGCCGAAAGGGCAAACGTATTGAGGGCAGGTGACATGACGTGCTGAAGCCGAGATCGATGTCCACTGCACAACGTCTTGAGTCTTGACCAAGACCGAAAGGGCAAACGTATTGAGGGCAGGTGACATGACGTCACGTGCGAGGGGCTGAATGAACCTCGCGATGGTGCGAGGGGCCAAACAAATTATATGCAGCCACGCGACACGGCAGTAGGACAGGTCCCAGATTTGCTGTGCTTATTGTACTCGCGGCTGACCAATAGGAAAGGTTATTACCCCATATGGCTAAGCGATGAGACGAGAGTGCTCAACATGCTCTGCCTGGATGCAGTCACACCATGAGACTGCTAGTAGGAGAGTGTGGGTCTGGGCGTGTCGAGGCCTGGGGGAGGGGTGGGTGGGGGGGGGAGGGGTGACGGGGGGTGGGTGGTGAAGGGCAGGAGTGTATCTGTTTGGAGCATTTTCAGGTCGACTTGGAGGCAGGGCAAGCAAAAAAAACACAGACCCAGCAAAGTATGCACATGGAACTCCTCACCCAACCGCGGATCCGTTGTAGACAAAATCGTATTTAACTGTGTTCAGACAAGGGATAAGGGGGATACGACGAGACAGGGAAGCATTGAGCCCCCTGCTGTTTGCAGAAAAATGGTGCAAACAAGACGCTTTTCAACATGTCCAGCATCATCATCCTTTGGATCCAAATTGCAAAATCTACAAGAACTGAAATCAGTTGCCAATTTTGCAGCTTTCTATTAAATGGTGGTTTGGATTGGTAGTTTAGTGGTTCGGGGTAACCAGGGTTTCAAATCCCAGTCCAAACTGCCAATCCAAGAAGCCACCAACTAGGGCCTAGGGATGGCCTAGGGGTTACCTGACTCAACCCCCCCCCCGCCAGTAACGATCAGCTAGTAAGCCCAACCAATAGGTGGGTGTGTCTCTCAACAAGACTGGAACCCCCTCGTCCGGGATTTGGGTTGTCTTCTTGCTCTTCCTTTGAACCAATCTAACAGGGACCTCAAAAAATCACGCCCATATGGGCTACGGTCTACATGTACTGTCGGATCTGGGCTGCCCTCAGATCCCCCGCTAAAAGTTTAACTTTTGGTGGGTTAAATGGAAACTACCACTAAAAACTAAAAGGCTAACAAGCTAAGGAACCGGATGGCTGGCTTCACCACCAAGAAAAATGACATGGGGACGCGGGGACGCACACCATTGTCATCCCACAAATCCCATCGCGCCCAGGTGCTGGTGATATGCTCAGGGAAGCCCACGATCCTGGGGATCCCAAACGTGAGCGGAAGCGCGGCACTCCGTTGGACCAAGGGCATTTCCGGGGAAGTTTTGGAGGCATGGGGGTTGGATATGTGTATCTACTGCATACCAGTTACTTAAGGGCTATACATATATATATATATATATACAAGACATACATGTGTATATATATATATATATAAATATTAAACATCCTTACAAGCTATATAGTATTTAGGTTGTAATAAGCATCCGTTGCTTCCGAAAAGCATACCTGAAGATGCTCTTGGATTTCCAGGGGTCGCCAATGGTTGCCTTTGCCGCCAGGACCCGAGACTAAAAGCGAACTGACGAGGGCGCTGGCCTTTTGCTGTGGCTTTATCAACTAGGTCCTCCAGTGGAGAGGTTAGAATAAGGTTACCATTTTTTCTGTAAGCTATTCTAGTCGGGGAACCCTCCCCCAAAAAAGGGTAAAAGGGCGCTACTGGGGAATGTAGTCAAAGTATCCGGGAGAAACAATCCAGCCAGGCTTCCTCATTAAATCCGCAAGCAAACCAAAATGAACTCAGTTCAATTAGCAAGAAGTTCGCCGGAATGAATCCAGTCAGGCAACTAAATCCAAGAAGGGACTGCCCGAATTTTTGAGTGGAGTCCCCAGGTTCAAGATTTGTAGATTGAGTCAGACCACGCCCAAAGCCATTGACGTTTGGTCGTCTAGCATGGTTTTTAAAAAAATAAGGCCCTACTAAACAATCCCGTGTTAAACCAGGTAGCAGAACCAGTCGCTTTGTAGGGGCCACCGCCCCCCCCCAAAAAATAAATAAATAAATAAAACAACAACAATATATGGCTTCCTGTTGGTTTTCCTTCAAGGCCACCAACAACGGGGTACGTCCAAGAAAAGACGCGCCACCCGTGGCCGCGTTCAAACGCGTTGCAAGGACCCCCGGTGACGCCCACCCGCCGTCGCGCCCCTTCGCTCCGGGCCGCTGCTTGGGGTTCCAGCGGAACTCGCCGAGAGCGCAGGGCAGCAGCAGCATCTGCTCGAAGTAGGCGCCTGCGAACCCGGTTTCTTTGGCAGACATCCCGTGGCTATGCCAAGGGAAAGGCAGCACCAGCAAAACCCAGATATACCGTTCGGGCTACGCCAAAGGAAAACCATCACCGGAAAAAAAAAAAAAAAAAAAAAAAAACAAACAATAAACAAATGTTTGTTTTGCCTGGTGCGTGGAAAACAAAGGGGGCCCCAAAAAAGCGAAAGAGACAATTTTGGGGAAGGTTTGCGGAAAGCTTCAGGACAGATTCACCCCCCTCCCAAACAGCTCGAAATAAGAGGGGTGACATCCGGTTCCAATGGCCCAGGGGTCCTTTTGCTATCAAGAATGGGGCACCAACCCAGTTTTTCTGTTGGTCTCCCTTACAAACCACAAAGGGGTCCCAATAAAAATCACCCCATTTCCCAGCAGCCCCAACAACTGCTTGGACCCATGTCCAAGAAGAAGGGCTTGCGGGGGTGGTGCTTTGCACCCAACGGATTCCCATCTTCAGCATCCTAAGAGGAATTGCGGCTACATTCCGGCATCCAGTCAAGATCTACACATTGCAGCGTAGGGATGGCATCAACAAGCTGCTCGAATGAAGTCAGGTCCATGCGTTGCCTCATCCGAATCTTGGGCCTCGCACCACCCCCCCCCTCAACCGTAAGCCGGCCCCTGGCTCCAGCGAACTAAAATCCTGGAAATTACCGAAGTGGCGGTTGAACCTGAAACCCCCGAAAGACATTTCGAGAACCAGAAAGGTTCACTCGGGGGCTGACCTTAGTTATCCCTCCCCCCAAATGGGTAACTTGTTTTTGTATGGGCAAAAGTCAAACATACTTTGTGGCAGTTTCTGTGGTCATCCCATGTTCATCGGAGCTTTGACCCCTAGTACTTCAGGCAGCTTCGGGAGCCCCATATTTCCCCTTGTTCCGCCACTTTCCCTCCGGCCTTGGTTGGCATCCACGCACTGGTTGATGGTGCCCCTCGAAAAGGGCAGGGCGTGGTTCCTGAGCCACGTCAGAAGCGCACCGATCTCGACCAACTCTCGGTGAGTTTGGCGGGCTTCTTTAACTGATCCACTTGCCTTGGTGAAGCAAGGGATTTCTTTGTCGCAATGTGCCAAAAGCGCTTCGGCTTTTGGAAGCGATGGCCAAAAGAAATACACACAAAGAACATTCTGGAGTCTCCATGACCCTGAAAAAATGGGGTCACTACCCAAAAGAATGGGGTCATTGACCCATCTTTTGAGGGTCATGGCCAAGGGGCTGGTTGTCTGCCTTGCCGTCGCTCAAGATGGGATACCCCGGCAGCTCCACGCGATACGCAGGCTGCCGAAAGGCGGCCGCCGGGTTCTTCGCCTGGCCGAAAGTCAGCGAATTTGGTGGCCGGTTGGATCTGCCTGGACTCAAAGTACCAAACCCTGAGGCACCAAACCCCTGAGAATCTTCTTCAGGCGCTGTTGATTCCTTTTTTAGGCACCTGGAGTCTCCATGACACCTAGAAACAATTAGGCACATGACCCCTTTATTTTGGTACATGACCCCATTCTTAAAGGGTCAGAAGGAGACTCTAGGTACCCAAAAAAGGGAATATAAATTGTTTAAGGGAACTTTGAGGGACCTGGGTTTGTCTCAACTGGAGGGGGGCCGATACAATGGCCGTTTTGAGAGAACCCCCCCCAAAAGAGGTGGCTTTTTGGATCTTGGATCGTTTAAGGTTTAAAGGGAAGCCAACCCGGCGTGGGTGGTCACCGATTTTAAGACACTCCCATTTGCGTTGTTGGGACTTGGGACCTTGCAACATGTGGTAGGCAGCTGCCACTAAAATATTGACCTTCCCAACGAGTTCATGCAAAGGTTCTGGAAGTGAGCAGATACCCAGTTCAAAGTCCAGAAACCGGAGTGAGACATTAGCTATGAAGGTGCTGCGGGGGTCTGGGGTGTGGACCCATCCTTGTCCGTTTCCTTTTCACACGGGGGCGGGACCCTGCCGCCTTGAAACAAATATTCGCACCATGCTTGTAATTTCCGTATCCAACAGGGTTCGTGATGCTCCCAACCTTGGTTCAGAACAAAACCAAAAGGAAACCAACCATTTGCAGGGCATCCCCTAAATTTTTATGGTCCCCAGCCTGGATGCACTGGCAATTGCGGTCGATGAGACAGCTGTAGTATCTGCGCGACTGCCGCGGATGGACCGCCTTGGCGCTGTTTCAACTTAGTTGAAGTTGGCCCAATTTGAACTTGGCTCAAAACACAACAAACTGAAGACTTGAATTTATGTTGTATGTGAGGGTAGACTAAGCATGGACCATAACTCTGAACAAGTCTTGTTGGAAAACTTATGGCCCATATGTAGTCTACCCCAACATAAGACAGAATTTGAAGACTCCAGTGAAAAAGCAAGGAACCAGCACCCTTCCTGGAATTCTTGTGAAAAGTGTATTTCCAACCCAGACTTGAAGCTGCAAGGTACTTAGTGTAGTCTTTGCTAGCGACTTGGGGAACTTGCCGTGCTCGGTGGGTCAGAGCCACGGTCAACAGCTACTTCCTGAAACTTGAGTGATTGAGTGATGCCGCTTTGCTGTATAGGTCACCAGCAACCTGCAAGGGCTTTCCCCATCTAGAATCCATGACCCTTTCAGGAGCAAATGCTGTTTGGAGAGTGCGTGGGAGTTCGAGCATGGGAAAAGCAGTTCTGAGTTTCTTTTCTGGATTCGGCTTAACACAACAGAACAACCACCGGCTCTCATGTTTCACGTGGTCAAAGTCGACCCATGTTGGACCGCCTGCGAGTCAACAGCAAAGGGCCCTAAGCGACAATAGCCCCCTCCGCTGACAAGCCAACACCTCCTATGGCCATCGGGAAAAAGGGCCTGTCTTGTGTATTACTTGACTTTTCCATGGAAGCCCTTCAGAAATGACCAAAGGCACCGCTCAAGGTCTCTTTCGGTCAATTGAGGTCTCTTTATTGCCTATGGACACCCAAAAAGCTAGCTGGGCTGTTCAAAAATGGAGGGATCCTTGCGTAACCACTTGGGTAAGGATCGTGCGGATTGAACAGCCCATGCTCAAATGGAGGCCAAGGTTTCGGCTTCCCCTCACAAATGGCTATAGTCGCTTTGGTGAGGCTACCTTTTCGGCCTAGGCGTTTAGAGGGAAAACCAAGGCGAACACACACGCGCACACACACACACACACTACCATGTGCCCACAGAACCTTAGCTCCCTTCCAACCACCAGCCAACACACACACACACACCACACACACACACACGCACATCTTGGGGGGTCCCCTATTTTAACACCGGGAGAGGTTTTTCAAAGAGAACTCCATTGAGCTGGTTGCCCCCCCGCCAATGGCAAGCGCGTGCCAGGGCGCATCTCTCTCGCAGTTCTCCCCCACATCGCTGTGATCGATGTACGCGATCTTCAGGTTGGGAGGGAAGCGCTCCAGCATTTCGTTCACCTGTCGACCGAGCCTCCAAAATGGGAGGAAACAAATGGGTAAGCGTCAACATAGGGATACACCAAAAGGGTTGCTTTCCTGGGTTGATTTCCAACCTGATGGTATCTATCACAAGGCTTACCACCTGTAAGGGTGGCTTTATTGCTCCAAATAGGGTGGAAGTACACCTTTGGTCTCCGATAAAATGACTCCTTTGGGGAAGCCGGCCGATTTCTACCATGGCCATGGCATGATACGTTCTCACAAACGGCTCAGAGCTCCCCAGCCTGCTCTCGCTGAACCGCGGTGAAGTATGCATACCTGAGCGATGGGAATACTCAAGCCTGAGCTGTGGATGTTGTTTAGGGAACCAAACAATGGTGGAATGATTTGTTGGGTTCCCCTTATACCCACCATACAAGTTGGTACCCCAAACAAGGAACTACGCCCATGGCAAAGGGGCGTGAAGAAGGAACCGGGAGCATATGAGCTGCAATTATCTGTAAATCATACAATCATACTCACTTCCTGAGTGGACTGGCAAAGAAAGTCCAAACTTCGTGTTTACCACTAAAATGGTCTTCCCAGAAAGTTGGAACACCATGACCTCAGGAAGACATATTACACCCTTGCAAGGACCTGTATGAGCTCGCGAGCTCAGGGCTCGAATGATTTGAGGATGTGAATCTTGAAGGATCCCGGAGCCGAAATTGACATGTCCAGCAAACCACTTCTGGAAGGGGATTCCCACTATACATCATTGCCAGAATAATATGGTTGTGGGTCAAAAATAGGTACCCCAAATGGAGCCCTGGCAAGTGGAAGCATGCACCAAAACCTGTGGTCCCCTGGTGGTTTAATTTTCACCCATACCCATATTGACTCGACAACGGGAACTGGGGAGATGCGCATCTGATCCTGAGGCTCTCGCATCTGCATCGACACCAGGCATTGGAACCTCGGGAGCTCGTGCTCGTGAAGTTGCGTGGGGGTTGATGGAAACTGGCAGCGTTGGGGGGTTGGGGGTTGTGGGGGTGGCGTGGGGGGGTGGGAGGGTTGTGGGTTTTCGGGGGTTGGGTGGGTTTGGAAGTTTGGAGAATTGCGGGGTGTTTTTTTTTGAGAAAAAAAGAAAAAATACAGAAACAAATTTGGTGAGCCCTCTTTTGAACTGGGTATTTTGAACCAATGGCGTTCACAAAACGAACGACTGTTGACCATGAAAAAAATCTTACACTTTCTCCGAACCAATCGACTGACTGCCAAGTTCACGTGCAAAAGGGGTCAGGGTTGGTAGTGAAAGGATCAAACGGGCCTCAAGGCGCGGCTTACCTGTCGTGCCCAAGGAATCTGCGTGAAGTGAAAATGCAGTATCCTGTACATTGCTCGCGCGGAAACATGTTGTTCTATTGAATTCCATTTCTTCGAGCGCGCCCGTGTTGGAGTGGCCCATAGGGCTTGGGATTGAAGAGGGTTTGCAAATGCACGATATTCCGTGTTTCGCACAATGGGCTTGAAACATGAAGCGGATCTCTCACAGCTTTCAGTTCTTGTCGTAGGCCAGGTGAAGACGCTCAACCAGCGGTTCCCATGGTTCTCAGGGTGAACGTTCGCCGGGTATGGTTGCATCTTCACAAAGCTCCGCGAGCTTCAGGAAACCTAGAGGAATCACAGGAAACCAGAAGAAGAAAAAAAAACAAAAAAAACAGACATCGTTTTGTCTCCATGACTCGGCTGTGGCTCAAAAAACCAGTACCAAAATGGAACCCTGGTAAGAGGACACATGGACCAAAACCTGCGTAACCCCTCCTGTTTAATTTTGAGCCACACCCACTCGTCAAAACCAATGGGATTGGTGGGGCCACCGCCTTTCTTTCTTTTGGGCAACCCCCAACTTTGCTTCATGGAGACTCACAAACATTGAGACCTGGCTCCATACTCTCCGAGACGGACGATGGCTCCAAGCGGCATCTCGCTTGTGTCGTCCTGGGATTCGAGGCAACCCGGTTAAGGATCCCCCTCGCTTCCGTGGAGTGGCTTTAGAAAAGTCTGAACTTGTTGTTCTACGGTCCAACAAAAGAACCAAGTTCAGGAACCTCATGTTGACCCCGGATTCACCACTGGTTTGCGTGGGGATTCATCACTTCGAAGCCCCCAACCCCTATTAATAGACAGGGGTCTGCTTATCCGGGGTTAACATTAGGGAGTGAGCCCAAGCCCCTGTCACTCAGGTCACTAATGGATTCAAAGACCCCAAAGACCCCAAAGTCCTTGGACCCTTGATGCCAGAAACCAGGAAGCCCCAAACATTTCGGCGAACTTCCACGAACCCTGGGCTGTGCCCAAAGCCATAGACAAAATACTCCACCACTTGTAGGCCAGGCCCAAGCATCGTTTCCTTGAAATGAGGACCCCCCCCGGCAAAAAAAAAGGAACAAAAACAACCAAGAAGAAAAAGGAAAACATGGGGGAACCCCCCAACTTAGTTTCCTCTAAATAGCGCTAAATAGATTAACCCAAACAACACACATTGGGGGGAACCCCCCCAAGTCGGCTCCTTCGTCTCCCCCAGAAGGCCAAAACTGCAAACACTACAAAGCAACAGGACTGAAGGCCTTAGGCTTTGCCACCCACCCAACACTCACTTCCGCTCGAGAGGACTGGCCTTTTGTTTACCACTAAAATGGGCGTGTCTCAAAAACCCCAAAGCTAGAGCTACGCAGGTGCTTACCAAGGTGCCATGTTGGTTCCCTTGTTTGAGCCACAGCCAAATGGTCTTTCCAAAAAGTGTTGAAAGTACAACTCCGGGAGTGATTCCCCACTAAACCCAGGGACACCGGGACCCCTACTAAAATAAACTGGGGTTGAATCATATGGAGTCAACATAACCTACTGTATTTGATTGGTGTCTTTGGGCCGAGAGGAGTTGAGTCACGGCGGCACTTGTGGGTCAACGCAACAGGACAAAAGGACAAAAACCATTTCGTACCACTTTGAAATCATGGTCTAGGTTCTCCAGTGGAGAGGTCTATTTAGTAGAGGAACCCTCCCCAAAAAGGGTGAGAAAGGGCACCACGGACCTAGTGGTTGACACCACGACTTGTTGGAATTTACGTTCAAAAACCTCTAGGGGTTGGTTCCCCATTATTCTCAAACATTGTCCTTTTCAAAAACCAGCTGTTTCCCCAGGGTTTTGGGTGCTTTTATTTTAGAAAGAAGGATGCAACCAGTACCCTCCCACCAACTAACATGGAAGTGCAAAAAGGCCCTTTACAAGAGGAAGGTAGTCTTTCTACAGGGTCTGTGCACAAACACATGCTAGCTGGTGGGACGGTATTTGTTGGCATTTACGTTCAAAATCAGAACAGCTCTGCAACCCTTCTCGCCCGTTTTGCGCGTTCGCTCCGCGCCTCACGCCACAAGAGCCCTGAGGAGTTGGTGCCCTGAAGCTCGTGGTGCAGCACTAGCGCGTCGTGGTACCTCGGTTTTCGTTTTCCCCCGGACTTCAGAAAAAAACTGGGCTGCTCTCAGATCCCCCGCCAAAAGTATAACTTTTAGTGGGTTAGATGGGAAACTACCACCAAACACTAAAAGGCTAAAAAGCTAAGGGGATGGCTGGGGCCACCAAGAAAAGAAAAACAATACGTGGCTCACGCGAAAGCTTTAAAGTGGCAAAAGAGACAAAATTGGCCAACAAAGTTTGCATGTCCCGTTTTGGCTTCAATGAAATCAGGTGTGAAATCGATTCCCTGAAAAACCAACTGGAAACGGAAGTCCGAAGCCTCTGGAGCCTTGGACGCAGGGCGCTTATGCCTGGAGTCTCAACTTGAGCGACCTCGAGAGGAGAGTCCAGGGAAAATGTGAACGGCATGCCAAGTGCTTCCGCCCATCGACAAAAACAAGGTCTTTGATTCTGGACCATGTCGTGAACCGAAAAAGGCGGATTTTCACAAATCCCAGTTGAGTCACAGTGTGAGGCAAAATGAGGCAACTTCCAAAAATCCTTCCCGACTCGCGGGCTTGGCTGACTGATGTTGGAAAAATAAGGGCTTTCCATGGAAAAACCCGGTATTTCACTTACATCCTTGATTTTGGCACTTTTCGCAAGCGAAATGTCGGATGTTTGAAGAACAGAGCAAAGGTGCCGGATCACGAGCAGGTGTTGAAAGGAGCCGCCAGGTTTCTTTCACTGCCAAATTGTATATCGGGTTTCTAGATGTTTTTTTGGAATCTCTTGTGGTTTCCTTTTGTACCGCCAAGTGCGCGATAGCCCCCTGCTCCTCAAGATTGGAGCTCAAAAGGCAGGGGTAGACGCGAGGGCGTGGTCAACCAAAACTCAAGAATGAAGCGGGACAACCAACTTGAATGTACAAGTGTGCAGTTCACTACATGACCATCAGTAGCTCTGCGTGATTGACACATCATGCTCAAGCATGGTACTTTTTTGTACTTTTAAAACATCAGACAGTATCCCAACGTGGCACTTGCATTCGTTACTCGGCTCGGCGCACAAGCCAAATGAAAACAAAGCTGGCCTCCGCCTAAGTCGCACTGCACTGTCTTCCAGCACCTAACTTTGATTCGATGGGAAGCACAGTCCAAGCCAAACATGTTGCGTAGTACGTGTTTGTGCCCGAAAACCTTCGGATGTTTTACCGCAATGTCATACAAAACCAGTTCGCTGCTCGCGCAATCTAGCTGTGTGCCCGCTTTTCTTTGCTGGAAAGCTTCTGGAAGGGCGGGCGCGTGCGAAAAAAGGAAACCCATAAACATCCCACACAAATCCCATAAAAATCCCATACAAACCCATTTTTTCCGAAAACCAGGTTTTTCCTAACCCGTACAAAAACCGTACAAATCCCCCCCCCAAAAAAAAAACGTACAAACCCGTACGCAATTTATGGGATTTTCAGCCTCTGCTCAAGCAGCTTTCCAGGCCCGAGCTGCCAAAAATAAGCTTGCAAGGTGACCCTGCGAAAAGCTGTCATTCATGTGTTCGTCCCACGCGTCTTTTACTACCTGCTGTCCAGCGTTCAAAGTGGGTTAGGTTCTTTTGGCTCGCTCCAAACATGATGTTCCTGCGACGTTTTAGACAAGCCTGCGAGAAGCTCCGGGATCAATGCTTTAGCACGGGACTTGGTTGTCAAACAAGTGAGCATTTGCAAGACGGCCCTCCAGACGTATCCGACGCGAGATTTACGCAGACAGTCCCAAGCAGATTGCTCAGTGCCATACACAATATGTATACACGTGCAGCTACCGCTTGCGGTAAACTGTGACTAGTTGCCCTTGTCAGAAAGTTCATATTCCAATGCTGTTTTAAACTTCTCGAGCCACGATCTGGGAAGCCTTCCCAACAAATTGCGGATTGACCATTGTTTCGAGTTCAGCAGGTGATTTGCAACAGGTGCCATGCTCAATGAGCTTGCTTGGATGGGATTGCTGGGCGGCCGTGGAGCGTTTGACTGGATGTAAGAGAGCCAACAATTGAGGGAACCACAATCATAACTCACGCAAGACCATTCTGATTGCAACGCAAAAAGTGAAAACCCGGTATTTCCTCAAAAAACCCGGATATTTTGCCATATCTTTAAAATAAACGGATATTTGCTTAGAGGGAACACCCTAAATATGAGGGCCTTAAACCCCCAAAGGCCCCAAATGATCAGATCTTGGGACCTAGGGTATGGAAAATTTGAAAAGGTCGTATGTCTGCACTTAGTTGATTGTTGGCACGTGTTCTTCTTCACTTCGCGCTTTGAGGACGCACTGTTTGGGTCATCTGATTTCGAGGCGCTTGCACATGCCCGCCACGGTCCGCCAGAGCGTCTGCAATCGCATGGACGCCCAAACGCAGGTTTCCTGGCAAGCTCGCTTTCTTGGCTTTGTGTCTTTTTTTGAGGGTACCCTTTTTGGTGGCTTTAAAGGGAAACCAACAGGAAACCCGGACCAATTTTTGGGGGGACCCCCTAAAACAAAAAGACATGACACAACTAGTTTCCACCAGGGTGGTGTAAAGAGCAGGGCTCCTGTGATAGGCCACAATGCCTTGCAAGGGTCCCAAAAAGGGGCAACAAATTTGACCAGCCCACCGGTGGTTCGGACACGTTGGTTGGAAAGTGAAACTTCCAAACGGTTTCAAGGGCAACCAAGGCCCACCAATCACGTGCATAAGGTTGCTGAAGGTGCCATCAGTTACAAGCTGCCTCCCTTAAAACGACCCACACACACACACACAGTGTGAATTGCAGCGGAAGCGATTGGGGAAATATTGGGATCCCTTCGAAGTGAGCGACCTCTCGTGCAAGGGGTGCCTTAGTTTCCCACCAAACATGGCAAATGAGTACCAAACCCAAAGCTGAAATAATAAGTCCCGATTTTTGGGACCTCCATGAATCGGTGAGCTCATTCACAATTTGCCCCGAGTAGCCAATGAGTAACCTTCATGTCCTGATGGCATTCCGGTGAGTATGCCCTATGTCATCCCCTTTGCTACCCTACTTCCAATACCCATGTTAGTGGCAAAGCTGGTTACCTTAGTCAGCGGAGAACCCTGCAAGGGGGGGGGGTCCTTGGTTTCCCGAGCCAACCACCGAGGGCACTCTCAGCTTGACCAGACGGATCCGACCCCATTGCAAGAAGCTATTGTTGGTTGAAAGATAAGATGCTGGAAACCCAAGATGGCAAAATAATAAACTCCTTCCAACAATCATGGAAGCTGACAGTAGGGTGTTGAAACACATGTTTCCTCCTCGGAAACCCCTTCTGTCCACTTCTTGACTAATTACCCCTGAATAGACTTAAACTCAGTGTTGTCGGGAATAAACTCTGGGTTTTTGTTTGGGGTAGTAAAAATGCAACTCTACACTGCACCCGTGTGGGTGTGTCCTTTTTCAAGAGAACCCCCCTCCCCCAAATGCAGGGAACCAAAAAGAAATCCACTTTTTTTGGGGGGGTCCCCTTTTGAAACCCGCGAGGCTTTGTTGTTTTGTGATGTTTGTTTTGGTGTTTGGCTTTTTGTCCTCTAAGACAAGGTGTTGCTTTACTTAGGTGTTTGTTTCGGTTTTTGCTTTGTGGCACCCCTGAAGGAAGGGGACAAACCCAGGTCTTTCAGAAGAGCCGACTGACGTCCCCCCCCCCCCTGGCCGGCGCCTTCCACTGCTCCGGGCTGTAGCGGGACCAGTTGCGAACCCCTCCGGGCACGTTCCAGTTCTGCGCGAGGTTCTGAAACTCGTCCACCTCAAGGGGCCAAAGGAGAAAAACTTGGCTGACGTTGGCAGGGGAGCATGTTTTGCTTTTATTTTAGCAGTTTTTGTGGATTTGGATTTCAACCACGAAACCACAATAAGCAAACATGTAAAATAAATCTGTCCCAACAACAACCATGAAAAGGCGCGGAGGGGGAAGCTGGGGAGGTCCGGCCGAGCAGCATACTTGATGCGCAGGTAGTCGATGAGGTGCCCCAACTCCCTCGCCTCACCCGGCGCCTGGAAGGGGCTGTAACTGAAAAGCCCCGTGGATTTCCATCGGAGAAAGGGAACTCTCCAAAAACGGGACTTCAAGGAAACTCTCCTGTCTGCCCAAACTGACAGGAATTCCCTGGAACAAAGGGGGGCACATGGGGGCACCTTGTTTGTTCATATTCAAGAGAGCCTGAAAGTCGCATCCACAAAGTACATGGGTGTGTAGGTTTAGGGAAACTCCCTAAAAATGGTGTTCTCCTTTGTTAAAAATGTGTGTTGTCCTTTAAGAACGCAAACATAGGGTACAAGACAACCCCAAAGTATACGCTGCGGAGCAACGTACCCCACTTGCAACAGCAAAGCTGCAAGACACTTTTCTCCACCTTCCGGTCAAAAGGACAAGGCTGGGCTGTCCGTTTTCTGATCCCCTGCTCAAAGTTTAACTTGTGGGTTCAATGGAAACCCAACCACCAAACCAGCCACAAAGCTAGGTATGGAGCTTTCGGGAACCGCTTCTTTTGCGGCCTGGAAAAATGCATTACTCCCCCCAACGATGATGGTGAGTGCATTCGCTGGTTTTGTGGGTAGTTTGCGGGTCGGATAATCCTCATTTGTACCGACGGAAACAACTACTCTTTCTGTTGAACCGAAGTAGGATTCCTGAAGGTGACTACTTTGCCACTACACGCCAACAAATGCTCTTTTCACAAAGAATGGCAGCCCAAAAACGCGATGTTCAACCAGGCTTTCCGGTTTCGAAACGGGAGCTTCCCAAAACTGGAGGGAAACCAGAACGAACCCAGCCAGCTTAGGAAATGGACCCCTCTTGGGAAACGCAACAAAACTCATCAAACCCGTCACCGGATGCCGAAGTTGCCTCGCTGTAGAGATCCTCCGGCAGCAAAAGCACAGGCTCCTCAGAGGAGAAACCAGCGAGGGCAATTTCGCTGGACTAGAGTGAGGCACGGAGATTTTGAGCATGGAACCAATCAGACCTTCATCTTGTTTTTTTTTGTTTGGGAGGGCAGGGTAGGGGGCGCTGACTTGTTCCGCCGCCTCATTTTCTGGCGTGCCATAACAATGGAACTTGTGGAGGTCCAAAGAAGCAAATTTAGGCACTCTGGTAGCCGACCTCAGCTCTTACCGACTCTTACCCCGATTGAAAGCCGGCCTCGCCTCGGCTCGTCTTTTTCGGAGGGTACCCTGAGGTTGGCTGAAAGGAAATCGAAGGGCAACCACAGACATATCGGGGTCTCCTATTTTGAGACAACCCCTATATCCCTTACTAATCTTCACTGACTTCCCCGATTTTTGAGGACGTGGCTCAACTGGCCATACATCATTGCTGTTTGCGGGGGAAAACATGTCCACCGGGCCATTCACATTCATCTCAGGACTCCAAGGGATCCCAATTCAACACGAGGGCCCAAGTGACCCCAAAAGACTCCACACAAGGCACCTTGTAAGGACAGGTCCCGTCTCTTTTCTCCACCCAACGGCTCCTCAAACTGAGGGATCAACACGGTGAGGCCCGGCACGTAAGGCGTTCGGTAGGGCCGCGGCAGCTCAAGCCCCAGGCCTCCCAACCAAGATACCGAACCAGGCACTCGATGCGGGCTTCGGTTGCTTTATATGCCTGGACATGGAGGAACCTCCTTTTCTGCGAAGGTGATGTGTTTCGCAAGATTCTTCCTTTGTTCGGGAGGGCCCAAGATGCGGCTGGAGTGGTCTTAGTGCCTTCTGCTTTCCTCATTGCTCGTTCTGGAAGGGACAAATGGGAGACCAACTCATGTCATGTAGTGGGGTCCACTGGCAGATGTTTTTTCTCGTTGTTGGGGCTTTCTTCGATAAGCCAAACCGAAGGCACCCATGGGGTTCCCTAGATCAAGCCAAAGCGTAGGCTGCATGTTTACGGGTGGGTTCCCTGCTGCCCATGAAAGCAACATGACGGTGCCTGAAACCAATCATCAGGGCTGTCCGTTTTCTGACCCCCTAAAAGTTCCCTTTTTAATTCGTGGGTCAATGGACACCCAACCACTAAACCTTTAAACGCCTACACACCTAAGGAAGTTTGCCCCACCCGGATGTTTTACACAGGGAGAACGCGTGCTGGAAACGGTTTCGATATGTTCGAAACAGCCCAAGGGTCAAACACATTGACCTGCCTGGACGCTCAAACTCCCCACAACAACGGGAATTCACTAATCATCACTAATCATAATTTGGGGCAATGAGCAATTTTTTAAGATGGAATTTATGGTCCAGGTAATGTCTTGTTCGTTTCTATCCGAACCAACTTTGTAAGTCGGCATGCTCAGGAGCAAGCGCCAATGATACTCACGCAAACATTCATAACCACATAAATCAACGAGAGACAAAATCACCACCGGATAGTACTGTACTACATCTAGTTGCCACAAATACCAATCAGCCATCCAACTTAGTGCGGGAACGAAACCAAGCAACAGGCACTGATTTGTGGACGGAGCGGGGACTCGTGCCACAACCTGGCCTGGAAATGGAAGCGGAACCTCCTGGATCACGTGTTAGCATCGTGAGTTGGGGGCAAAAAAATTCGCAATGTTGGCCTGAGCTGTTTCGGCCCACCCCCGCGCGGTCCAGGATTTCCAAGCAAAAGATTAGCAAACACTCCGGCAGCTGCAACCGTGTTCATGTTGCTTTGTTCACATTGGGCGTGCCTTTTAATAGCCGACTCTTCAAACATCATTTAGGTGGGGATTCATCTCCACCAACCATTTTGAAGGTTGCAATTCATAGAACTTTGGCTCTGTTTGTTGTCCCTCTTTTTGAGGTTTTGAAGGGGAAACCAAACAGAAAACCGTTGAGCCATTTTGGGAGGTTCGATTCCATAACAAGGACCCCCACCCCAATAGAGATAGGTAGTCAAGGATCCTCGGACTCACAAATTGGAAAGACAAATCCCCAAACCTCTCTCCTGAGTGGACAGGCCAACAAGACAAACAAACCAGCACTTTTTTATGCACCACCCAAAATGGTCCAAACCCAAAAAGCGACAAACCTCCAACTTGGGAGGCGAGAAAAACACCCGGCGCCGTCGCCCAAAAACCCGAAAGAAAAAAAAGAGAAAAAGACCCCAGCGGCCTCGGGACAGGGCGAGGAAGCGCCATTGAAGCTCTTTGTTCACCGGCCACTCCTTGGTTCGTGGGCAAAATGCACGGGAGCGGGGGGGGGCCATGGATGTTCGAAACAACAAATACTCAAATACTGTACATCTCTTGGTATGGCAGCAAAACAAAACACAAGTTTTCCCAAAAAATGGTTAGAACCCAACAACAGAGAAGCATACACATGTGTTTTTTTTTCGGAGTACCCTGTTTGGGGCTGGTTTAAACGGAAACCGAAGGGAAACCACTCATTTCAGGAGCCGCCGACACCCATATCACATATTCATTCTGCTCCAACTCTTTCTCTCTCTCTCTCTCTCTCTCTCTCTCTCTTCGAGCTTTCAGGGGGCCTAAATCGCCCCCTCCCAGGTTGAATCCATCTGGGCTCAACATCCAAATAACGAAACAGGCAAACAAAAGAAAAGGCTTAAAGCTTGTGCAACCTACTCCTCTGCAAATCAACATGGAGCCAACGGAGCCTCTCCCAAAATGGACCCATATCAAGAGCGATATCCGTTGGGTCTCCTGGAAGCTTTCAACCCATCAGCCTTCCAACCTGCGCTGTGGGACCAAAAATCAGCTGGGAATTGGTGAGACGCAAATTGACCCCCCCAGATTGACCAATCCAAACCACCTTCTGCTGGTGCTAGTAGGCGACAAACGGCGGACGCCCTTTTTGCGGACGTGACACATGAAATGAGGGCTGACCGGATGACCTCCCCAAGACGTACGGTTGGGGCGCAACGAGCCTGGGCCCCTGCAGGGCTCTTATGTTTTCCACCATCATGGTGGGCTCCTTTTGGGATGGCCAAATGAAACCACCCTCTACCGGAGCCCTGCTCAAATCAGAAGCCCAGTGGCCACAGTTCGTTGATTTTAAAGGACCCTCAAAACAGGAAACTACAACCCTGCCAATCTGGGAGAAAAAAAACTCGAGGTGCCCCACCCCTATAAAAATCGAGTCTGCTCCATGCCTGTGCACTTCCGAATCTAGTGAAGTAAGCACGCAACAAGCATCAGCTCGATACTTGTTGCCAAGGCGCCCGAGTGTCTGCCATGCCGCAGTAGTGCTTGCTTGCCTCAGCGATACACGGCAGGCCAAGCAAGCCAGGACCACTTTTCAGGCACGCTTTTTGGAAATCCATTGCCATAACCACTTGACTTTTTTGGTGGTTTAATTTCACAATCCATAGCCTTTTCAGACAATTCGCGAGGGCCGGGCAAATCAGGGGAGGACTGCCCTGCCCTTTTAGTGACGTTTTCTCCAGCTTGCATGTTCCTCCAGATTAACATGAATTGGAACCAACAAAGAGCCTAACCATCTTTAAGAGGCCTCCTGGTTTATACTTCTCCTTGGACACGCCCCTCCCTATTTGCTGCTAGAGGCACTTTGATGAGTTGCAATGTGGTTGGTTCAATCCGAGCCATGTTCATCATACCTGTCCAAAGCCGTCGAGTCACACACACACAATTTCATGGCTAATTCCTAAGCTAATCAGTATGGCCCTACCCACCAGACCCCTTCTAATAGCCCTTCCAGATTTGGTGGGGGGGGCATTGGTCTTTGTCTGGGTGCCGGTTGGCTTGAAAGGCATCAAAGTGAAACCACCCACTTTGACTGAGTCAAGGGCTCCTGACCACCATGTGCTCTGATGCGTTGCCATCGGAGCGCACTTTTTGGTAAGCTGTCCTTTCAAGGCAAACCGGAAAGAACGGACGGGAGGGGGAACTGGTGGCATCGCCCTTTTCGCCCACCAGCTGAGTCAAAGGTTCGTTCACATCAAAAGAAACCCAACGCAAGCGACACCCTGCAACTTGCTGCATGAACATGGGCAAAACCGGCTGGCGGGTGCCAGGGATGCGGACAGCGTCACTCTCGAACTGAAACCGCTACACGCCCCCCCAGTCCACAAACAGGGCATGCAGCCACTTGGAGAACCCTACAAAAGACGGACAGCTGCCCTTATTCCCTGAATGTTGCCGCTCGCTCATGATTTCGTCGCGCACTCCCCACTTAGGCATGGCCACTTCCCCCAAAATGGGGGGTGCATTTCTGTTGGTTTCACTTTAGACACCCATCCAAATGGGGACCCCGATTTTTCTGGACACTTCCGGTACAGTACTGGATATTTCAACCTGGAGTGGGGGTCTGTCAAGGATTCACTAAATGGAACAACCAGAGTTGATCTCTCCTGGGTCCATTCCCAGCAAACCCCGAATCTTGAAGCAGGAATCTTACGCGCCGAAAAGGTCTGGAGAGGGATAGCAAGTTCCAGGCAACGCAATTCAAGAAGAGGGAGCACCGCTTCTTTATCAACTTTCCCAAGAGTTCAAGGGTCCCCTGTTGGGCCAATATACTGCATCTGGGGTTGATCAATAGGTCCTTTACATGGGATGACCATTGGGGAAACCAACTAATAAATGATGTTGCACACTAAATGGGAAAAGTTTCTCTTGGTCATGTGGGGGCCGAACGGAATATTAATCAACCCCATATCAACCAGGAGTATATTGCTGGGTATTCAACAGGGGGCCTGGAAAGAACAACATACCTTCCATCTAGATTCCCACTCGACAAAAAAAAACCAACATATTTCCAGTAGTGCTAAATTCCATGAAAAACACCGCCAAGGGACTGCGGGACAATCTAAAAATATCCGATTCAGCAAATGGAAGAATCCGCTCCCGTTTGGTGATGGACTGTGCCGCCCAAAGGGCGCGCTCCAGGCAGTTCTCCTCGTTAAAAAGCACCGGCGCGCCCGGCTCCTGCCGCCACTTGGCTGTGGGTCAAAGCCAATGGTACCATTTCCCATTTTAGTCGGGATTTTAGTGGGGATTGGTTGATGTTCATTGGGGGTACGGGATTTGGACCCATGGCCACTTTTTCTCACACCCGGTCCGTATTTCTGGGTTTGCCTTTTCCGCTGAAATGAACCGCCTCCCTTGAAAAGGGTTTCTACACTACCAGGAGGGCTGCTGACTTATCCAACAAATATTGGAAAAGGCAAGGTTCTCAGATCCCCGGCCAAAAGTGTGGGTAACTTGTGGGCGAAATGGAAAAGCAAGAGCAAACCAACTAAACATGTCTGAAAACCCAAGGAAACGGATGCCTGGGAGTCTCTGTGACTATTGCCGGTGTTGCAGGGTTTGCAAAACGATCACATTCCATCAGCGCGCAAAATCCTGGGATTCCAGCCCAGCACCCAGACTTCGGGGTTGGAGTTTGGACCCGCTGGATAGAAGATTGGATCTCACGTGAGACCTATCAGAAGATCGCAAGATTTTGTTGGCATTCGAACGAAGCATCCGATCCGGGAGGAGGTAAAGATTCGACGCTTCTAGCATTGGTGAATTTTGTCGGCGGCGCCGAAGACCGTTTTCAGCAAATGTGGTCAAGGAGTTCCGACCCCTTAAGCTAACATGGCTGCGTGATTTGCGTTATGGGTGTCATTGGTCTGCAAAGCTCCTCAGCTTCGCCGCAAGCTGAATGATTTCAATCAGTGGATGCGAATCAGTTTGAGCGGGCGGACCGAAAGACTGCTGCAGAGCCCCAAACCACCCTTCATGTACTGAAGTTATTTGATGGGGACCCTGTCAACCAAAGGACGTGGGGGCGGACAAACATTGTCTCCTTTGCTATGGCCCCAGGGGGCACAATTCTCTTCACCAACTTGGCCTGTCTTCAAAAGTCGGGACCAGTTTTCTGGATGTTTCTGACATCTAATGACCTGCTCTCGAGGTCATCAAAGATGGGGTCTAAACTCCTTGTGAGGGCCATGCTTGTGGGTCCCTCAATAGGATGCTGTGACAACTTGTCTCAATTCCCCGAGGGCTGAATAGCCAGACCCCCAAGGGTGTTTGACCACCTGTTGCCTGAGCAGGGCCCACTGCTGGCTGGTTCTGTACTTAAAAAGCCACAAACACTTTTCCAAACAAAAAACCGACCCTCAAGGGGATTAACAAAAACAAACAAACAAACAAAAAACAAACAAACAACCCTTTTGTTTGTTTTTTGGGTTTTTCACAAACAAACAAAAAAACCGACCCCTCAAACCTATCGCGCCACCGCGGGGCCTCGGAAACCGGATCTGATGGGTGTGATTCTCAGAATCCAAGTCGTCCGGGACTCCGCTTGTGTTGCAGAAAGCCCTTTGAAACCAAAAGGTGGTTCAAAACAAAAGACACCCACTATACCTGAAATAAGGGATCCAAGCAAACTGGTGTCGCCGGTCGCCCAAACTTGAAAGCAAACTTGGGAAGTAGGTCCCGGGTACAAGGAGCAGCATCGTGGTCCAAACATGCGCCCTGTGCTTGACAACGCCCCTACCTCCGAGAGGATGTAGTCGAAGCAGAGCTCGCCGCTATCGCGGACGTTGATCTTCTGCTCTTGAGTCCTGGGTTCTAAAACTAGAGGCAGAAAGCCGTGGATCCATGAGGAGTTGTTGTAACTCTACTCAAGAATTCACAGTCACAGTAGAATCCAGCTGGGTTCTAAAATAACAACCGTTTTCCTTCTACAGGTCAGCCTCTGCGTGTGGTCCGGGCAAGTCAAAATCGGGCCAAGACAAGCTGTGCGCTCTGGTAAACTTTACTAGACAAAAGGCGTCTCACACAAGAGTGAAGGCTGGTCTCCCACTCTGTGGGTTGGTTGAAAAGGACACATTATTTTTGGGAAGACTCTGGTTGGAAAGGACATATTCTTTTGGGAATTGACACCGTGCCAACCAAATCAATCAGAAGTAGTCCTATAGAGGTTGGTCGGGCCGAGTTTGAAGATTCCTCTGATATCCTAATCACTGTCAACTGGGTATGCAGGGGCCCCTCGGTGGTCATCACTAGGCGGGGATTCATGTCCACTAACCACTTGCGAGGTGGTTCCCTATTGAACTCAATGGCAAACGCGTTGAAATCTGGATAACAATGCTATCAAGGGACTGTCTCGAAACTGATCAATGCTCTAAAAGAGCAACCGCCAAAACATCTCCTGGTGCTTTGCCAAGTGGACGTTTCCGTTTTTTTTTCTCCCCGCAACTTAAGCTAAAACTCACAGCTTCTTCACTTGAAAAACCGTCCGAGGAAAGGACAAATAGGGACAGGTCGGTTTCAGCTTCTAGCTCGAGAAGCCGAACATGTCCACTGGCCACGTCTGGTGCGTCCCTTCGCATGATTGCTACCTCAGGGAGTTGCGTTGCATTTTTTTTGGCATGGTCTGGGTGCTCCCTTCTATCATGAACTTGTTTGGACTCATTGACCTCGTGTTCCGATACTGCATGTGTTTGTGATCTCAATCATGACCCTCCCTCGTTTTGGGGTTGCCTCATTTTGCACCTGTTGCCCAAACATGAGTTTCCGGCGGACCTTTACTGTAGTCTTCTGTAAACAAATGCAGTCGCTCACATGGTACCTAATTATGAAGGGAACATGCATGGGAAAGGGTGGCTGTATTGGGGATTCGTCCCCCTTTCCATCTGGGCAAATTACAACAATTCACAAGAGACCCCTCAGCACGGAACCGTCCCTCTCCCATCTCTCCCCTGAAAACTGGATGCGAGGCGCATGTGCTGGATCACCAGGTTCCACGTCTTTGCGAAGGCCGACTTGCTGCAGGGCGAATATCTCCTCGGTGAGGGATGGCTTAGCCGCCGAGACACCAAAAACATATTTAGCATGCTGGAACCCGTAACCCTCGAAATGCGAGGGATGTTGGCTTAGCCAAGCGATAATAGCAACGCCTCTTCCAAGGGAGGACTGGGAACAACATTGCGAACCAATACAACAACAAAAAAAGTAAACTGGGGTCCATGGTAGGGTAAACCCAGGCATCTGCACCATGTATCCAAAAAGCCATGTCACTGCCGAACGTTGAAGGCGAAACCATTAAGCTTTTTGACAACGCAAACGAGAGCAAATGCGATGCGATCGGCTGTCTGTTGCCTAGCACTCCGGTTGCTTCTGACTGGTTCCAAACCCACTTGGGGGTCCTTGAAGGGTGCCAATCATGTTCCAAATGGGAAATCGGGTTGCACGGTTCCCCAAGCAGGATTCAGACGTGTCCGCACTCCAGTATTTAGCACTGGCTCGACATTGCTTATAGGATTCCCACCTTGGGTGTGAATTGTTAATACGAGACCCTTTGTTGGACCATCACTCAGGTGACCATTTCGGCGAAATTTCCTTTTTCAATTACTTTCTGCTCCCCTGCTAAAAGTTTAACTTTTTAGTGTCTTAATGGAAAACCCATTAGTTGGCAAAAAGTTAAAGTTCTAACATCCAAGCAACATGCAACAAAGTTTAGGCGACCAGTTGGGCTGAGTTCCTTTTTCAACCGAGAGGCAGCACCTTCTCGGCGAAGCGCCCGGGGAGTTTGTGCAGCGCGTCCTCAAAGGCGAAGTGCAGCGTGCGGCACCGGCGCCTCTGGCACACATCGAGTCATGGGGCCCAGGGGTCCGTTTCGGGGGGGGGGGGGGGTGTTTTTTTGGGTTGTTTTCTTCTGAGCATACTCCTTTTAGGGTTGGCTTTGTTCAGGGAAAACAAAGGGATTTTAGGACACACACACACCCATTGGATTACCCCAAGCTCTGAGATAGACTGAGTTTATCTGTAATCAAAAATCAAACCTCTGGCATTTGCCACCTGATGGCTGGTTTCCTTTGGGCGTCCCTTCAAACCCTTTCCGAATCCCATATTGAAAATTCCAACCGTTGGCAGCCGTTGGCAACCAGCTTCCTGTGGGCAATTCCACAATAGGCCATACCAGCAACAAGTTAAATAAAGCACATGAACACTTCCAGAAATGCAAATGGAGACGCAACACAGAAATGAAGCAGAGCAATCCCTTCTGGGGGCACTGCACTGCCCTTTTGGGGGCCAAGGCCAAGGATATGTTTCCTTCTGCAGGGGCGAGGTGTGTAGAGAAATATGGGGAACCATTGTGTTGAATGGGAACACCTCCATTTTGCAGGGTCCCATTAGTTGACACATACCCAAACAGGTCTCACCCACGCCCAACGGGTTTCTGTCAAACTGGAAGCGTTCTGATGGCGCCTTGACCCAACTCTTGGGGGTATCCTGCCCATTCCAAACCTGCAGATGCGTACCCTGGGTCCGCAAAGCCAAGCCACCAAACGAAACATAGAACACAGCTGGTTTCAGAAGAAACCATTGGACATATGGCTATGAATTCCAATAAGGGACACATCATTTCGGCGAGTAGTCATGTCCACCAGTCACCTTTTAGGTGGTTCCCCAATAAGATTCATTTCCATATCGCAAAAACAACCCTGCCTAGAGTCCCCATGACCCTGGAAAAAATGGGGTCATTACCCAAAACAAAGGGGTCATGTACCTATTCTTAAAGGGGCAGAAGGAGACCCCAGGTGGGCCTGGACGAATGGCTTCGGGCGCGTTTTTCTTCGGCGTTTCCGCTGTGCGGCTTGCGAGCGGCTGGATGAGGGCCACCACGACGCCCAGAATCGTGCAGCCGACCGTGAACCAAAGCCTCGGACTGATCCGACTCACGGCCCAAAGGCTCCTGGGCCTAGGTGGCCTTTTGGCAAAATAGGTGGCCCTGGCAAATGGAATATATGCCCCATCTAAACCAGGGCCCTCATTTTTTTTTAAGCAAACCAACCAAAAAGGACACCTATGCTCCTGGGGCTTTCACTGGAAGACCCAGACCCCTCCATTAGACACCCAGGTTGTTGTTTGAGGGTCCTAACATTTTAAATGAATCGAGAGCCTCTGGGTGCTTAAAAAAAGAGGGCCGGCTTGCTGAAAAGGAAAGCCAAGGGAAAAGTTTGGGCAAATCAAATAAATGGACCTAAGTGGCTCAGCTTGATCATCCCGGCTAAATCGGGGTCTGCCCTCACCGGATTACACACTAACATGGAAGCTATTTTACAAGCAGTGGTCTTTCGGTGTCAAGCACAGCTCAACTGGGTCTGGGTCTAGACCCCGCTATTCAACAAACCGCTGGGATGGCGTTCTGTTCAACAGGTATCGAACGGCAGCACTTGAGTCATAATCAAAACCTGATACACAAATGGTGAACCCAGAACCATACAAAGAATTGAAGAGGCGACCGCACCCATTTATGGCTGGGATTGTCCCTTACTACCCTCCAATTACCGTTTTTGATTATGACTCACTTTCTCTGTCTAAGGCGCTGTGTGTCGGCGCAGAAGATGAAAAGGCTGGAAAACCAGAGCCAAAGCCTGAGACGGAGAGATGGGGACCATCTCCACGAGGAAATTTCCCTTGGAAAATCGGTCAGTGCTCCGCAGGTTTCGTGCCCCGAAAAGGAGACCACACGAAACAAAGCACAATGAACATCTCTTCACTTTCCTTTGCTGGCAGGGGAAAGGCCCTGTCTTAGGGGAATCCATCTATATCACAACACAGTTTCCCGCGAAGTCCGAAGTTGACTGTGTGTCTTGCTTTGGTAGCCTGTGCAAATAGGGCCTGCTTCAGGAGAAATTATAATCTATGACAACTGTTTTGCTGTGTTGCTGTTTGTTGGTTCTCCCCTTGAGCAAGTCGATTGAACCCTTCGTGGAACTTTGTGGGCTGGTTTTGAAGTCCGACAAGCCACCCTGCCCTATCTTGGCGCATCCTGGTTTATGTGTTTCTTTGTTCGTGCGCCTAGACGAACGACCACATGATGGGAACTAGGACTTGGCGCAGTCTGTACTGAGCCAACGGGCAATTTGTCTTTGCACGGGCAAACTTGCATCGGAAAGAAATATCCTAAAGAAAATTGGATGTGTGTGAGATCAAATCACCAAATCAAAATGCAGAACCAATGAATTTTGCTTCGTCTGCTGGCATGAGTTTGTCTACCAGGAAATATGAACCCGCAAAAAAAAGACAGGAGGGACGGTGGATACCCCCAAACCCAAATACCAGCAAAGATAAAGCAGACTGTTCCGTTGGTTTCCCTGAAGCCCTGAGAGGGGGATAACAACATGAGAGGAAGTATCACGTTCTTCATAAAGAACAAGCGTGTGCATCCGGTAGTGGGATCTGGGCAACTGATGCTTCACCAACATGCGGTTTAACTTACCAAAGGCACATGTCGTTCGACAAATGTAGTCAATCTCGATGTGGGTATCCAATGGCACTCCACTGGAATGCATTCCCACTGATTAATTGTTCAAACACACCTGATTGTCGCATAGAACATCTGCAGGCAGATTGAGGAGCTAGAAAAGCACTGGAGGCCAGGTGAGGGTTCCTCTAGCATAGGAAGCACCCAAAGGATGGTCGAAATTGCAGCTGGTTTCTGCATGTGCACAAATTAGGGCTCGTACGTATCCGGCTTTTGTGGAAAACGTAGGGAGTTCCCAAATGGGCCATAGATTACGGGATTCATTGATTGAACGCCGTTTAAGGGATGCGCACGGAGTGCGACCCTGGAAGCCGTCAAAACAAAAAGGGCTTGAGAGAATCGGTCTCACAAGCTCCGATGGCAGTAAGTATTGCCGCAGGCCACCTAGACTCTCCATGACCCCTAGAAAAAGGGGTCATAACCCCTTAATTTTGGGCAATGACCCCATGTTTGAAGGGTCATGAAGACTCTAGGAACCTTAAAAAAAATCCAACATCGCCTGAAAAAGCACCTCGGGGCTTTGGTGCCACTGGCTGTATTTTTGTGAGATCCAACCCAACCCCGAGAACCTAGCTGTTCGCGGGTTGGAAGACCCGAAAAGGCAAGCGCAATTTCTGAGTTTGGTTTTGGGTGCTCTTGGTTGTGCAAAGAGCGGAAAGGCAGAAGGGATAAAGAGGTCCTACAAACCCCAAGTGAGTCGCAATCAGAACCCGAAACAAGAAAGGTCTACCCAAGCCAATGTGAATATTATATTATTTTTTAAGGGCGGCCGCACCCATTCCTGATCAAACCTGCCCCTTATCCTTCATTTTACCCTGGTCTTGCGCGGTTCAAATCCGAGCTCCGGGCCAAATTAGTAGGTCCCTGGCCCAAATTGTGCTATACCATGCAATCCTCAGCTGGGCAAAAACACGCACTCACTCGAAATATTTGTTGGGGTGACAAGGAGAAACCTCCAGGCCACAGCACCCGAAAAAAGAGAGTACTATACTGGAGAATTTGAACATGCAAAAAGGCCGCTTGGTGGGGAGGGAGTGTGCTGGTAAGGAGTAAATCGAAAGATCTGCCATTCCCCCTTCCCCCCGTGGAGTGCTGAGGATGACACTTGGGCGTATTCAAGATTACATCCAACACCTGAAATCAGAATATGTCGGCCAAGCAAAAGGAAGATCTGCGGTGAGCTGGTGAGCCGACCATTTTCACGAACATGTGTCACAACTAACGGGACTCACGACGAAACGGGGTTCTAATGACAGGGGTTCGGATCGCTTAGGCCAAAGGATTCGTGTAGCATCCCATTCAACGTGCTGAAAATGGCGCCCTTTGGCTCCTTGCAATCTGTGCATTTAATTCAACCTGGGTGCCCACGTCCCGTTGATTCTTGGTTAGGCCAAACAAAACCAGGAAGCCAAGGTACAAGTAGACAAGGGACCACCTCAAAAATGGGCAGAAGGATTCGGCTTTGGGACGTAGAGAAGACCCCAAAAAGAGCCCCCAAGGCCAACTCTGACTAAAATCCCGTCGGATCTATCGAATGGAATTCGGCGATCGTGACCTCGCTTTGCGCTCAGTTGCCCTTTAGGGACTCAGGAATAGAAGGTCCTGAGGTCTCAACGACCAAACTAAGGGGTCATGACCAAATGTTCTACAGGTCATGGAGACTCCGGGGTTCACCTGTAGGAACCTTGACTAAGTATGGGAACCCAAATCGGGGAACCCAATAGGTCAAAGGTCGACTCACTTTGAGCCAGTGAGAAAGTGCTTGTTGCTTCAGCGTGTCAATAGCTCCTGGTTGAAAGATGTGCGTGGAAACTTCCCTTTGACGTTAGTTCTACTGACATTTGTGTCAAGGTTTATAAAGACTCTATCATACAAAAACATATTTCGATTCTCTATTTCTACGCCCCATGAAACCAGGTAAATAGACAAGGAACCACCACCCACAAACCGGGCCTTGATGCCTTGGTTTGGGTTCCTCGGGCGCTCAGGTCTCTCTCCGGGGCTCAGGATGTCCTCGGAGGTCGCGCGGCCCAAAGGCTCCAGCTGGAGGTCGAGGATGAGGTCGAAGATGGCTCTGAAGAGTACCACGGCCACTAAAAACTTGCCCGCCAGCACCATCAACCAAAAGAAGTACCTGGCGCCATGGCGCTGCTTCTTGCTTCGTTTCGTTTTCCCCCCGGAGGCAAGCATCGCGAGGAAAAGCAAGTCTATGGCAGCTTCATAGGGGTTGCTTTCCCCAAGGATCCGTCTTTGCAAAAAGGTTTACCTTCCATCGCTGATGCTTTTTGGACTGGGAGGTTGGACAAGTATCGGCTGGTTTGGAGCAGCTTGGGAATTTCTGGAGGTCTCGGGCCGGCTGGGGCGGGCTAGATGGAGATCCCCACTAAGCCCTAAAAAGCACAAAAGCTAAGGGGATGGTTGGGAGCCACCAACTTAAGGACATGGGATGTTACACATGGGAACAAGTTGTTGTTGGTGCCAAGCCTCTAGAAGACTTCGCCTTGTTTCTCGCTGCATGGTCAACATCTGTTTGGACCGCCACCTGACATGACCGGCAGTTAAATTCGGATCACGATGTTGACAACCTGGCCGAGGGTCGTAGCGTCAAAGGCTCTTAAGGAAAGGCGGCCAAACATCAAACCGCCAGTGCCAAACGGGCTGTTGAACCATATAGTTCGATCGACAGGAGATCTGACCTGAGTGCAAACGCATGGCATGTCACCAAACCCCTGAGACCTGCCAACAGAAAGGTCATTCCCTCCGGCAAAAAGATCGATCCCAAAGCTGTGGAATCCCCTGGCGCGGGAAAAAGGGGGGGGGTCCGATCGGGCTGATAGTCCCGTACACCGCGAGCTGCTGACACGGGGTGTCAAGACCCCATATTGTGAGCCGCAAATTCCAAATCGGATCTTTAGCTCATTTTAAGGGGACACCCCTCCATGGAAGCCCCCCCTGGGGGTCTGAGGGATGAGTTGTCCCAATGGAGTGATGGCTGGCCTGCTGGGCTCTAACACTGCCTTTGAATGTCGTTGCGACGGTGGTCGAATAGAATCTGTTGATTCCAAGGGTGGCTTCTTCAACCATGACAACATCAGTTTCAGGCGGATTCCCTTGGCATTACCCAAAAAAGTCGCCCGAAAAAAACAACTTGCAACAACAAATGGCATACTGCTTGCCCTGCCTTTTGAGAGAAGGGAGCGGATTGATAGGTTTCGGCCAGGGATCGTTCGTTGCACACAACTCCAATTGGCGAGCAGAGTTTCTGGTTTGAAACGAAAAAGAACAATCGAAATGGACGAGTGCCCCAAAATGATGGTTGGTGAATCCCCTTTCTGGGTAGCTTGAAAGTCCGTCTACGAACATCGCCCTTTTTGCGGATAAGCTTTGGACGCTCCACGCTCCGATCCGATCGAAACGGCCCCCGAGCCTCACGAGGCGGAGGTGAAACGGCGCCCGGGGCTTCTCCTGGCGAATTCCGACTCGCGGCTTTGCAGCAAAAGTGGCTCCTTGCTCGTTGTGCTGCTTTTGGTCGTTTTGTGGAGGAAACACCTCTCTTGTCTGTTGAGTTTTGCTTTTGGTTGATTGTTTTGTTTTGTGGAGGAAGTTGGCTGTTTTGTGCTTTGCTTTTTGTGGAGGAAGCACACCTGGGGTTCTTTTTGTTGTTGTGGAGGAACCACGTACGTGTGTTTTTTTCTTTCTGGAGGAAAAACACACACACACGCACACATTGTCTCTTGTTGTATCACTTTGCCTGGGACCTGCTTGACTTTTTGCGGGTTAGTGCTGGAAAAGCACAACCAACTTTCTCTGTGTAAGAAGGTTGAACATGCAAGAGGTGGATTCCCTTCCGTCGGGTTTCCAATCGTGCCTAAACTCACCGGAGTTTATACACAACAAAGTCATAAATGGATGCTGGCAGTGGTTGGAAGGTTCATTTCCAAAAAAATCCGAAGACTTCCGTGACAGGTCAACTACATCAAAAGACCAAACTCTTTGTTTATGCCCCCACAATGCTCTTCTCAAAAGTAGTGTCGAGTCAAAACTCAAGTGAGTGAGCAAGTCATTTTAGGCCGTTCACGAAGGACAGCCATGCCGATTCTTCTCAAACCACCACACAACCCAGGCCTCAAGAATCTGGAGCCTCTTGCTCTTGGGATCTGGACAAAGGCTCCTCTGGTGTCGTTTCGCTTGGCCCTAGCAAGTTTTGGATTTGACCTGGAGAGAATGGCCCCACATCTTCCAGAGTCAAAGCAACATGGTCATTCCCGGTGTATTCCCAGGGGAAAAAATAGCACACAGATCTAAAGCAGCGGCCTTTAACGACTCCATTCCCCTTCCCCATGTTCAAAATCCCAAATAACGCCCAAAATCGGTTCCTAAAAGGATTGGAGAAAGGGAAAAGCACCCCTCGAAGGTGGTGGTACATGAATAAACGGAACCCTTCTACTTTTCTCCAAACTCACCCGAAGGATATAGGGTTCGCCGTATTTAAACCATCACCCCTAGGAATGAATTCGCCATAGATGCGGCCAAAGGGGTGATGCCTAAAGCCACCACAAAAAGGGACACATGGACCCCTGTTCGACGCAGGCAAGAAGTCTCCTTGTAGGGCGCGTCGAAGCCGCGGTCTGGGAAAAATAGCAACGACGCGAGCGCCAACAGAGATACCACCTCGCTTGCGCAAGCACCAGTCACGGGGTGCTTTCATGGCTCCCGACTGCCCGGTTGCAATTAATCTGAACTATTGAATTTGGATGTTAACAAAGAGAACCCTACGAGGTCCTCCAGTAGAGAGGTTAGAATAAGGGTGCCCTTTCTTCTGCAGTCTATTTTAGTAGGGGAACCCTCAAAAAAGAGAGGGTAAAATGGCAGGGCTGGGAGACCTAGCCTATCAAATAACTTGATCTTAAGGAACCGGGTAAAGGGAAACCCTCCCGGGCCTTCGATGCTGCGTGGCATCGCAATTGTTGCAGACGTGAATGGACTCATAGCCGTTCGCACCCCACCGTCCCACAAATCTCAGGGTTCTAAACCGGGGGCATGGACCAAAACCCGATAGCCCATTTCCTTGTTGTTCCCTGGTGATTGAAGCATGCTACAAACATCTACAAACAAGAGCCCTCGTAGCATCTTACAGCTCTCCTGGACTCGCTCCTGAACTCCCTCTTTGGTGCCAACATTTGGACAACCCCATCCCTTGAAGCAACCAATTTGGAAAATAAGCCCCAGCTTTGTGGATCCCTTACCAGCCAGCCAGCTGCAACCAAGATGCCAGGTGCGCGATTAAAAGATATTGGAGAATCTCCGGCGTCCAAGCCTCGGGTCGCGGCGCCTTTTGCGGCACAGAGGGGGAGCCTATGTTGACAGCCCCCCAAAGGAATGTCCTGGAAAAAAGCTCAGTTTTTGGGTTTGGACCTATGTCACGTCTTTTAGCCAATCCACTCAAGTGAGGGAAAGAATGGCGGGGACGTACGACCGAAGTGTCCTGGTTTGTCTATGGTCCGTTTGGGACTCGGATGTGGCCCGTCTCACTCACTTCAGGAAGCTCATCAAGGGCGCTGTCCCTGACTCCCCATGGGTTTGACCGGATGTCCACGGTTTGCCAGATGGCGTGTTGAGGGAAACCACAGGGAAGAGCGCGAGTCAATTTTAGGGGTGACTGATTTCCTGGAACCTGTTTGGGTATCATCGTGCATTTTTTTCCGACTACGAGTCATGATGTAAGTATGGACCAGAATTCAGACGTGATTCTCAGCGTGGGGGGAAAGGATGATGAGTTTGAATTGTATTGCCATAGCGACTTACGGGGAGGCAATCCAATATGTGTCTCATTTATGTTCCCTCATTTGCAAAACCAAAGGTCCCACCGTGATTTCCCGATAGAACCATTCGGGAGGGATTGCTAGGAAAGAAGGAATCTCCTGAAAAGGCCTTCCTTCCTGAGTTCCGTGAGCAACATGTCGCGAAGCAGGGAAAATGAGAGGATGTGTGCCGTTTTCACGTTTTGCGTTGCTGTTTCTCCGCAATGGTAACTAAAGAAAAACATATAATGCAATAAATCAACGATCGATGGGCTCGAGGGGCTCGCCCTTTTGATACCCCTTTGCAAAGGGATGTGTGAAACATGCCGCGATCTGTGTCTGCCTCTGGCTCAAGAGCTGAAGCCCAGGGGCGGGGGGGGGGGGGGGGTGCTTTGATGAGACTCCATGGCTGTGCTTGTTGAGGCTACAGAAGACCAAAAGAACCTGCAGGACCATTCTGTGGCAAAAGAATCTGCAGCATCATTTTGGGGCACCCCCTATTTTGACACACACACACACCGAGTGAATGTTAGAATCAATGCGCCGCCTCTGGGGTGTCTATTTCAGCTGCTTGCAGATTGAAGGAAGTCCAAGCGATACGCCATGCCATCAAAACTGCCAACGTGGTGGCTTGGTTCTCCTCTTGGAGAAACAGATGGCATTGATGAAAAGTTTGCACAAATATGAAACGAGTGCCATACATATATATATATATATGTATATATTATATATATATATATGTTCAAACTCACCTAGCTGACCCAAAGCTGACCTGATGAGTTGCCGTTTGGCGCCTAAACGATGAAAAGGTCTGCCACGGCGGCCCTAAATTTTGCAAGTACTTTAGACAGCCACAAACCATGGACATTTACAGGGTGTCCCATGCTCCCCACTTGCAATATTTCGGGCATCCAGCATAACAACTGATTTAACCTTCCCAATGGAACTCAAAAGCAAACCAACCACTTCAAAGGCTCAGAGCCTTTTAACTCAGAACACAAGAAGGGAACACCTCTCCCATCGCATTGCCCAGCGGCGAGGTTTGCGTAGCGCAGTGCCCCGTAGGTCCCAACCGGAGCGAACCACAGAAGGCTCCGCCAAAAGTTCGCGCAAAAGCACCCTGGCCAGGCGTCGGTTAACTTGCATTTCTCGGACATGCCGAACATGCAGCACATGCCGGAAAACACGTGTACCAAACTCGTTCGAAGGGCATCGACGGCATCGAGGTACACATGGTCACCACTTGGGCATGCCGCTCAACTTCCGCTAGCAAAACATCGCAAACATGAAATTGGGTCCGTCTGAAAAAAGGGAACCTCAAAATCGCTGGTTTATGTTGGCTTCCCAGTTTGGACCAACCACACCCTCCAAAATGACTGTCAGGAACTGTCGGAGCCTTATGGGGGGACCCTCAAAGTGTTCAAACTCATTTCCAGCGCAATAAATCTAGAGTGAAAACAAGTATCACTGCAGCAGGAAGACAACTCCGTCCCAATTGCCACCGTCACAGTCATGACCCATTTTGCTGGGGTTGTTGAATGGGCATCGTCCTTTTCTCCCAAAGGAAGCCATAAGAACTGAAATCAATTGTCTCCCCTGCGATGGCTTGGAGCAAGCCTGGTCCAAATATATTACAACATATCCACCCCGAAACCATTAGTTGAATGGGAGATACAGCATATAGCCACAAAGGGGTGCATGCTACCCTGTTTTCCACTTATGGTCACAGTGGTTCTGGTAGTACAATCCACAGATTCTCAACGTCCATCCCCCGGGTGTCGCCGCGGGGACTGGGACCCTGATCCAAATCAACGGGTTGAGATTCATCTGGGGTTCCCGTTAAACAAACGGCCAGGATTCCTTTCATGCGAGATGGAATCACTGGAGATCTCCAGTCGAAATCCCCAAAGGACATTCACTTCTCAGCCCTTGTTTGGATTGCTGGTTTGGTGTTCCGTGCCCAAGAACCAAGGGCTCAAATCCTCCATCAATTCAAACCGCCCATCTAGGCACAGCTGATGTGCTGTGCAGCCCCGCACTAGACATGTGAAGAACGGCTCAGCACCCTCCAATGACGGCTTACGCCCATGTTCAAAATCATGCCTTAAGGGGTTCAAAAGGCAGCTGGTGGGGGGCCTCTAAGCAGATTATAACCATGGTTTCGATCACTTGCCTCACGTTCCCTGCTTCAAGTACGGTTCAGAAAGGGCGTTTCTCGAAAACATGTTGTACCCCCGCCCAAAAAGCGTCTTCTGTTTGGTTTCCTAGTAGAGCCACCCCAAAAGGGGTACCCTCCTGTCCACCAACATGGCACTTACCAACGGGTCGGTCCCTTTTTACAGGAACATTGTTCCGAGACCCCCTCAGTCTGGTTCCATGTGGCTGTGGGTCAAGACCCTGTCCCCCTGGTGAACGTCAAAATAGGTGGCAAATGGATGTTCCATCCCAAAATGGTTCCGCAACACAGCGCCATGACAACCCATCGAGCCGCCTATGCCGCAAATCGAGGCCCGGGTCGCCGCGCCGCAGGTGTAGACCCGCGCCCTGACGGGGCAAAGGCTTGGGCTGGGCATTTTCGTGTTTTTTTTGGTTTTGCGTTTTTATTATTATTTTCCCATAACCAAACGGACAGGGAAAGGTTTGGTTTGCATTTCGTTTTGATTTTTTCCCCCAACAGCTGAAAGCTTTGGGGTCTCAGCCCGGATAGGCTCCGGGGTGGTCCGGGGCGGCCCTGAGGTAAGGTTCCACGAGGGTTCCACCAGGGTTCCACCGGGGTTCTACCAGGGTTCCACCGGGGTTCCACCAGGTGCTGCGGGGTGGTGCGCACTAAAAAGAGCACTGCATGCTGTTGGGGATATCAACTGGGCTTTGTTTTCTTCTCCGAACAGCTGAATGAAAGCTTTGGGGTCTCAGCCCAGATAGGCTCCGGGCCGGGGTCGTCCGGGGCGGCCCTGAGGCAAGGTTCCACGAACGTTCCACCAGGGTTCCACGAGGGTTCCACGAGGTTCTGCGAGGGCTGCGGGGTGGTGCGAGCACCAAGAAGAGCACCGCATGCTGTTGGGGATATCGCCTAAGCTTATTGTTTTTCGTTCTTCCTTTCCATAACCAAACGGACAGGGCGGGACAGGTTTGGTTTGCATTTTCCATAGCCAAACCTCAAATTGCCGTAGGTTCCCCGGAATTCCGGGCTGGAGTTTATCAAAGTGGGTTTCAACCATGACACCGAAAGGACAGTGACCTCCCAAGTGAACTGGCCAATAAATCTAGAGATTCCCTAGGTTTAGGAGCGGATTTCTTGGGTTTCAACAAAATTGCACCAAAAGGACAGGGGACATCAATTTTGACAAAGTTGCCAGCCAACACAGGGAAGCTTTTTGTCGAGAGGTGAATGGGCCTGCCCCCATTTACACAGGAAAAAGCCCCCTTTCAAGGGATTGAACTTGTTTGTGGCGAACCCAGCGAACAAAGGAGAAAGGGTGCCACCGAACTGAGAATTGCGGGAGGGGGACTTACTCAGGTCTTCACTTGGTGCTGTGTTAGCCCAGCTGTGTGGCAAGAACCCGGTTTAGGTTTAGAACCAACTTTGATCCCACCTTGCTAAAGTTGGCCAACAGAATGCCTTTCGAAGCTTGTTGTATGCGGTATCGTTTTATGCACGCAAACTTGTTGCTTGGGTGTTACTTTGCCATGACTGATGTAACCGCAAGTAGCCTAGGTACCCCACATATAGAGTAACTCCCCATTTCGGCGCACTTTTTTAATCAAGTCCAAGAAGTGTTCAACCATCTGGATCATTGTTGTTAGTCACTGTTAGTCACTAACCAAACCTACAACTTCCCCATGAAAGGAACCTTGGGTATCGCAACTCCGATCCATCCCGCGAAGTCAAACCAAGGAGAACACGTGGAGGTTTGGACCCCCAGCTGTTGTACAATGGGAAACCTCACCTCCAAACCACCGAGCACACCACGAAAAACCGGGGGAAGCTGAAGGTGAGTTCCCGCGCCGACTGGTCGAAAAACACAAAAACACGCCAATAAGCCCAGCAGGTGGTATCCCCAACAGCCCCGAAACCCAGAACCCTCTCAAACACTTCCTGAAAGTCTGAAACTACCCCAATTGTCGCCTATCTGGGCCTATCGACACCATACCTTTCAGCTGTTGGGGGACGGGGGGGGGGGAACAAGAAACAATTGGAAGGAAGCTGAGATGAGTTTCCGAGCCGACTGGCAAAAAAAAAGCTACCCCAGATCCTATCTGGGCCCATAGCTTTCAGTTGTTGGGGAACAACAGGGGTACCCCCAACAAAAAGACACTTCCCCAAAAAACCAGGGGGGGGGGAACCTGTGGCGGGAAGCTGAGGTGACTTGCTGTGCTCAGCAGGGAATGAGGGAATGACAACTATAAACCATCCCCTATGACCCCTATGGTGTCCTTTAAGAAAATCCCCTACCTATCACACCAACAAGGAAAAGGTGATATCGCCTCTCGACTGCTCTTAGGTTGGATCTTTCGACTTTAAACTTTTTGGGATTTCCCTCTATATTTCCCTTTAACCTGCAGCCAGCTCCGCTGGATTGACAAACACAAAACAAAACGAAGAACTCCCTCCGCGGCGCAATGCCAGCAGCAAGGCATGGAATGGCGCCAGCAAGCCCAGCGCAGCCCATCGCACCAGGCCCTGAAAGAGCCAAGAGTCAGAAGTCCAGAAATTTCAAAGGGACCAACCAGGGCTGTTGAAATAAAATCCACTTCTCTGATACAACAGAAAAGGCTTCCCAAAGACTGACCCCGTATATATACGGGAGATTCCCTTGCATCACAAAAGTTGGGAGAACCGCTTGATCCAACAATCCTGGTTCCAAGTGACCGGGGGTTTCCCTTGAAATTACTTGCTGGTGCTCAGGGAATGAGGGAATGACCCCTATGAACCTCAAAGGATCCAACTGGCAGTTGTTTTCAATAGAAATCAACAAGAAGAGTTCAACTGACTTAGGCTCCAACTGGCTTCGGTTGAACTTAAAAACTCAAAGGTTCCGACTGAGTCACAATCAAAACCGATCGGTATTAAATGGTATACCCGTAAGCAGGCAAAGAATTAAGAAGGGGGCCGTGCCTATTTATGGCTGGGATTGTCCCCTACTAACCTTCATCCACCCTGGTTTTGATTGTAGCTCAACTGACCGGTGGTTCCGTCGAAATTAACAACTCAAGCTCCACTTGACCGGTGGTGTCCATAGAAATCAAACTATCAGAAGATCCTGACAGCCAGAAACAGTATTCAATCGAACAAGTTCCAATTCACTGGTGGTTTCCCTTGAAACTGACACTTTAGGAGATCCCGCAAAAAATGGAGGAGCCCCTCTACCCGACCCAGAACTCATAATTCCATTTCCCGCAATCAAGCAAGCGACCTGCCTTACTGGGCTTTGCCAACTAAAAAGGACAGTTGCTAGTTTCCTGTGAAACGCCTGGGATCCAATGGGAATGGTACAGAAAGAGAAGGGATTGCCAATACCGCGCTGGGACTGCACACTGAAGCTAAGGCTTGATTCCGACGCAACAAGCTTGGATTATTGCAGGCTGCCAAAACAAGCTCTGAGTTAACTCGCCAGACCAAATTGCCCAAGTTGGGGGCGTCGACTAAACGATGACGAAACCAATCGATAGTTTGAAGCATGCCAACTCAAGACGCAAATGTCTGGTACCTGACTCCTTTCTCTGCAGACTTGGCTACTGGTAACCACTTGCAGCGTGCAGGGTAAGATCCGCTTGAGTCATAATCAACAACTTGGACCAAAACTCATGGTAAATATTTTCGAGGGATTCTTGCTGCATGGTTGGTCCTCAAAATGCTTCGCCCTGCCTTGCCACCCAGAGTCTCATCGTCGTCGAACGGATCCTTGGCAACTGGACGAGGCAAGTCAAATGAGGCAAACTTGAGATATCTGGGTGGTTTCTTGGGATCTTTATACCTCTCTCATCAGGGGGCATCACATAGTCTTTTGTTGGAACAGGATAGGACTAGGATACACAGGATAGGACTAGGATACTGTGGCGCTCTAAAAGGTTGAAAGGAAAAGGCTCCCTTAAGGAAAGGGGGATGCCCTCATGTGAGACTGGCATTCCTATGTAAGGAAATTGAAAGGCGGCCGCACCAATTTCTTGCCGGGACTGGCCCTTACTAGGCCGGGTTCTGATTGTGGCTCATCTAGTTTCAAACTCAACCTTTGGCATGCGCCTCGTGACCTCACTCGGCCCCGGGCTCCAGCGACCACACACACTGCACCGAAGAAGAGGAGCGCGTGCACCAGCCAAATCCTGCGGATGGATCTTGCTGACTGGAGACATAGCAGTGGGTCAAAAATGGGTACCCAACATAGAAGCCTGGTAAAAAGAACCAGGGACTCAAATCTGCGGTCCCTTGGTTTAATTTGACCCACACCCACATAGACTTGCCAACCACCCGTTCAAACCGTTTGGGCCTTGAACAAAATCAGGAAACCTAACTCAAAGACTCACAGCTGGCCTGCTGAGTCTGATTAAGTAATCCCAGCCTGGGAGCTCATTGGCTGACTGGCTGGGATGGTCAACGTGGAGGGCATCCCTCTTGGTTTCGTGTGTGACAGATTGATTCGCGCGGGCTATTTAGCAGGTTGGAACATGAGCATTTCTCCCCCCACAAAAAATCCCGAGTCTTGCAAAGGTGTTGTTCTGAGGCTAGTTAGAAGGTTGGAACGTGAGCATTCCTCCCCCCACAACAAATCCCGAGTCTTTCACAGGGACCCGAACCTGAGGCTGGAAAAGCCAACGCTCCGTTCACGCTGGGCCTTCCCAAGCTCTCAGTGCCAGGACCCGAACCGAAGTGGCCTGGTTGAGACGTTGATGCCAGAGTGTGTACTTGGTTGACGTTGGAAGGGGAGCCAAAATTTCAAGTTAGCAGTTAAGTGGTTGGATTTCAACCACTAAACCACAATAAGCAAAAATGTAAATTGTTTCCCAACAACAACCATGTGTAAAGCACCCCCAGAAACTGTGCGATACCTTTAGCGGGGCATATATGTCACAAAGTCCCTCTAAACTCAAATAACCCAATTCGAAGGAGTATGTACGCACATTGCTAGAATTCTCAAATCGGAAATGTTGAATCCCGAAGATCAAAAGGAAGCATCATGTCCTAGGTAAGCGCGTTCCACACCAGACTCAGTAAGCTCGTTCTGATTTGCCCGATACATCCCTTTAGGCTAAAACCACAGGTGGAATCCCCGACCCCGACCCCTGGGAGCAGCTGCGAACTCCAGAGCCCATCTGAGCAAAGACAACAAGTTGAGGTCGAGGATGCTACACGCATGATAGTCCTTTGGTGCCAGCTGGCTATGTTTTTTCGAGTTGGAATCACCTCAGAATCGGTGGGTGGACATGAATCCCTGAATTCTGATGCCCACCCAAGGGGCCCTAATTCAATTTCATGCAGGGCCCCTATAATCCGCCTTAAACATCAGCCCACTTTAAGGAAACTACCTTCGAAGTGGCTCATGCGCTGCAACCCGCTCACCCGTGGGTCCCCTAAGCATACCGCTGGAAACCGCTCTGACCGAGTCCTGTGCGTCGAGGCGAAGACACCCCACAAAGAGTGGACCTGGCCGTGCGGGGTGGCGGTGGTGGTGGTGCCTGTAAACCAAGAAACCCACAACTTGTTTGGGTCCACCCATTTTGACACATGGCTATGGGACAAAACCCCGTAGCCCCAGTGAACATCAACCAATCCAACTACTAAACTAGGTTCTAAAATAGGTGAACCCCCAAAATGGAACCATTGGTTTAGACCCACGGCAATGACATACCCATTTGCTCCATCAGCCGTCTACTAAGGAGCGTTCGGCTGGCGATGTTGGGAGTCGCACAAGATCATGGCCCAAGAATCCGAGGGTGTCCCACGGTTGGGGAAGCGTTGCCCAGACCAAGCTGTGGAAGCCGTTTTTCATGTTAGACAACCTACCAAAAGGGTTGAGAGCGTTGCCACTGTGCAACTGGATTCTCCCCTGCAAAGTAATTAGCATGGAGCCCAACAATATGGCCGCTTAAAATAACGGTGGTGTTGGGCTCCGCGTTCATCTGCAGGGGAGTGTTTACCCAAATCAATAAAGCAAAACACTGCACCTTCCAAAACTTCCGCCGTTTCCTGACTTGCACAGTGGCAAACAAAAGAAACGGACTCACATGGCGTGGTCGGCGCTCAAAGCGATTGATGGCTTGTTGTAACACCAAGCTGGTGATAAATATGCTAACATCAGGGTACCATATGGTTATTTGTTTGTTGTAGCCAAAAGCTCAATGCTTAGTGGTGTAAACAAAAACGAAACTTCTGTATACCCACTCACCTATCAACAAGAAGAGGCCCCCGGCTGTTGGCCGACTTCCCCTGCACGCCTCGCGGTGCGTCTTCATCTTCTGGCTCGTCAGCATCTTGCTTAGGTTAAACTCCTGCCGGGTTCGAAAAATGATAAGCAGGGTCTTAAACTTCAGCTTTGGGGGATAGATCGAAGCCAGTTTGAGTCAGCACCAGAATTGTGCATGCGGGTGTCATGTTTTTCGGGGACCCCCCCCCAATTGTGGTTTTCCTTGTGTTTCCCCCGTACAATCCAACCAAAAAGGGGTTCCCCCCAAAAAAAGACACGCCCATTTATAGTACAGTGAGGTATGCTTTACGCCCTCAACAAAAATCGCGGGGCGAAGAGCCCGGCAGCGAATGCCAACTTCGCATAAATCCTCCCCAACTGTCACCGCCCCCTTCCCCGTTCCTAGCTTCACCCGCATTTTGGGTACACAGAAACTCATATGTTGTGGTCCACATCTAGTCTGCCCCCAAAAAGAATCGTTTGGGGAGTGGGATCTGTCGCCAAACCTTGCCTTGCAGGGGGTGTTTTAAAATACAGTCCGCCAGAAATTGTGGTACCCTCAAACATCGTGATCTTCTCTCAGTCCTGTAGAACGGCAAAGCGCTTGCCATGCTCCAGGTCGAAAAGCCGGGGCATACCCCGGCGCAGCCGCTTTGGGTCTGCGAAGAACTCGTTCCAATCGTCCTGGGGCTTTGCGCTAGGTGTGATTGAGTGTGTGTGTGTGTGCTGTGTATGCGTGTGTTTGCTTGTTTGGTTGCCTGCCTGCTTGTTTGATTTATGTGTGTTTCTTTGTTTACTGCTCTCCTTTCATGTACCCTCTGCTCCTTTCCTTATGTTATAATTTCCTTCTTTCCGTATTTTCCTTGTGTTTCTTTCATGTTTTGTCTTTCCTTTCCTTTCCTTTCCTTTCTCTCGTTATTGCTCGTTTCATTTCGGGTCGATTGTTAGAGTGTGTGTGTGTGTGCGTGTGTGTTTGTTTGCTTGCTTGCTGCGCCGGTGCCCTTTGACTACTTGACCAGTTACACACACACACACACAACCAACGCCCCTTTGTGCTGTGTCGCACTCAACACGTGAAGTCGGTTTTGTTTGGGAACAGCCCGACTTCAATAACCATTTAGTGACCTGACACACCCTGCCACTTCAAGAACAGCCGCCGGCAAAGTTCATGTTGCCCTGCCAAAAGCGAGAAAGGACCTGAACATGACGCCATTCTTCCTCTCCGAACGCCCCCGGTCCGAAAAGTGCATTGTTTTGCCGCTTAGTGGGAAGATACACATTGAAATCGTCCCAAAAGGTTAAATCCAAGCAAATGGCCGAACCAGCCAAGCCACCCAAATAGTTCAGTCCGACCGTAGAATTCGCTGAGCCACTTGGTTGCTGTTGACCCTTCTCAAGGTTCTTATTTTGAGACACATGGTCGGACGCTGCAATTATAAAGTAAGGATACATCCAACCAAGATGGTTAGGATAAGGACATCCAACCAAGTAAGACCATCCAACCGAAGTAAATACAAAGACATCCAACCGAGCAAACCAGGTCTTCCTCCGGCGCCCTTCCGCCCTTCCGCCCGAAGCCGAGGCGCGTAGTTCGCCACGTCGGGCGGCAGAAAGGCCTCGTAGCCCCCGTGGAACGTGGGGAGCTTCCTGGGCTTCAACGCAACGCGCGCGAGAAAACGACGCTTTGGATTTGCGCTTCTTGGTGGAAATTTGAATTGATTTTACCGGCTCTTCCCCCTGTTAGTCCATTTTTGTTTAGTACTCTTTTCTTGGTGGACATTTTACCTGTTCTTCCCCCTGTTGATCCTGTTGTAGTACTCTGTTCAAGTACTCCTTTAATACTCTACAGGCGTGGATCAAGAAAAACCACGTCCAAACAATTTCCTAGAACTACGCTCCTCCGCAAGGCGAATGATAGTAACCGCCCAAAGAGGGAAATGTAGCGAAACCCGATCTATACCCTTCCATGAGCCACGCACAAAATTCGCCGTTCAGAGATTTTATGAGCTACTGTCCATGTACATTGTGTCACTGACAGGGGACTTTGGGAAGTGTCCCCATATATTGGCAATTTGGTGACTGTGCCCGATGCAGCTCCCTTTAGCGTACGGCAAATATCCCCACTCCAGTCATGCTCTTAAGCAAACATGGAAGGAAAGGCACCCCAATCCTGGTACATAGGACTTTGAGCTCCAAAACCTTGCGGAGGTCAAAGAGGAAAAGCGATAGAAGCCCTCCACAGCTGTGACAAAATGGGTACCCCTGTTGCTGCTAAGATGTTTAGACAGGTTTTACGCCTTAATCCCAACTAAAGGTATCCGAAAACTCTTGCGTTCAAAGCCCCAACCAGCGACCTCTCCTCCAGTCGTATTTGGGGGACCCGCTGATCAGCAACCAAGATTAAGTCCCCCGACAAGAAACGCAGACTCTAATTCTTTGAGCTGCAAAAACATTGCTTGAAAACATCATGCTGGACCATGCTTTGGTTGACCTTGACACAGACATGACAAATACAAGAGTTGGCACCCCAAATCTGGAACAGGTAACCCCTCCAATGACATTGCGTTCCTCACGTTAACACCCATCTCCGAAAGCTAAGCGTCTCTTTGTGGCTGGGCATCACTCCTTTGCCGCGATCCTGCGGTTTCGCCATTTCCCGGGGTTGTGGGATGCCGGTCTGAAGTTCACTGGATGTTCAGAGGCCTCGGCCGAGCTTTGAACACCAATCCAATACAAACCACCACCAAGCCGAACTACCTGTTCACCAACTAACACGCTAAACACCTACAAAGATGGCTGGGAACCCCACCAAGTGGAGGAAAACGACGGGAAGTGGACTAAGTGGATTTGGAGAGGCCCAAAGCCCGTACGTATGTGGGGATGCCACGCATCGAGGCAGGCTGTGAACGTGCCGATCAAGTGGCCCGAAAAGCCATTGTGGCCACACACACACACCAGACGCTTGCCCCTGCAAAAATGAACTCTAATGGGTTCAAGATTCCGCACACATGCTTGTGCTTGGTGCAAGCTGGAACCTGTTTCAAGGACAATGCCATGTCAACGTACTTGTGCGGGTCTACCCATCCGATAAAACATGCGCAGTATTCCCCGGCTTCCCGATGCTTTCGAGATCAAAGGATTTCAACTCCTGGCATTCAGGGGCTGTCTGCACGTCTGGATGGCCGTCACCTCTTCAAGCCAAAGGAAAGGCAGCTGGGCAACGGTCAAGATAGCCTTCTGCATTAAATTGAGCACTCCCAAAAGCGCGCTGAGCACCATCCACAAGCAACGCCTTGCCGCTGGTAATTCGCTTGACCTAAAAACAGCCTGGGGAACAAAAACAGGTCTGTTCACCGCTTCCAACCATCCCAAACACGCCGACTTCATGTTTTCACGTTCCCAACCTCAAGGCCCCCCTTCCGTTCCGTTCTGGTGGCCTGCTCCAGCGGGCGAAATTCAAGCTAAACGAAGTTCCAGGTCAGCCCTCCCCGCGATATTCATTTTGAAGGGAACCTAAGCCGCAGGGACCGCAGGGATGCCAAATGAGAGTCCTACTCGAAACTTGGCATTCATGGGTTCCACCCAAAACCAAGGGTAAAGAAGCCAAAGGGCATTGAGACTGTCCCTTACCCATCCCAAACCCTCATGCGGAATAGCACCTTTTGATTCAATTATTGCACAGCCGACCGCGCGATGCAATAAACTGTTGAAAACAAGGCACGGGGCATACCCCGGCCTACCCCACGCGGGGAGATTTAAGAGAGTTTTTGTCCTTAAATGGCGAAAGCAGAACTTAAATGGAACCCTGCCACTGGACGTCGAACAAGAAACAACTGAGAGAAGACACGTCACTTTCTGCTAGTGGATTCTAAAGGCACAAATCCTTCAATTATTTTCGTACTCTTTGAATATCCTAGAGAGACGGCATCCACAGATTGGCTACATCCAAACCGGTTTATGCCTCGCTCCTCATCACTCACAGGTTTGAAGTCAAGGCCCTGGTACCACTCGTCGAAGACAAGGTTGTACATTGGCCTCACCATGCCTCGGGCGGGACATTTGGTATGTGCACTGAACTTCCGGGTAGTAAACAGCTGGCCTTGGGGAAAAAACAACAAAAAACATTAAACAAAACAAAAACCAACATGCAATACACAAACACAAATTGCACAAAAAGAATCGAAACAAGTATCCTCTCCTGCCTAAAAGGCTACCCAAAAGCAAACACAAACATGTCCACAAGTGCCCCAGAAGAAACGGTTAGATTGTTGACCATCCACAGTAGGAACCCTTGCACTGATTGTCGATAGTTGTCTAGTCCAGCCCAGCGGCCCAAGGATCGTTAATTCGCCGGCAATCATTTCAACCGTGCAGCAAGAAACAGTTGTCCTCAACGGTTTGCCTTTTGAACACCGAAAAGGCTTCCAGCCTCAGCTTTTCCCGCCAACTGGAAGTCAGGAGGCTCCACCAAACCATGGGAAATGTATGGAACGGGGCCCGCCCTGAACGATATTGATCGGGACTTTTGCACTACCCAGAGTCTCCATGACCCCTAAAAAACGGGGTCATAACCCCTTAAATTTTAAGGGTCATGGAGACTCCAGGTATGCATTTATTCTAAACAACTTGCAACTCAAGGACCTTCATGGACCTTCGCTCGCTTTACCCCCGCCTCGGTGCCTCGGTGAGCAAAGTCAAAAGGCAGATGTATTGGACCGCATGTTCCCACACAGCTGGGATGAACTCCAAAAACTGGTGGGTTGAAACAATGGAATCTGCTTGCACATAAGCTTCTCCAATTGGTTCATGAGTTTCTTCTCTGCCCCTTGACCTCCCAGAAATCGGCTCCCTGTCTGAGACCGATGGACCAAAACAGGACAACCTGTTCGGGAACCCGATCGCGCCGTGACACGGGAAAGGAAAAGCCCGCTGCTATGCTTCCCATCCGCCTGGAGAGGAGATCAAGCTGGCGCGATTTTCGGGGCGCGTGCGAAATAGTTTTGATTTTGGGATTCCCAACACTAAAGCAAAGGGGGAACAAGGTTTGCCACAAACAGCTGTATCCATTCATATGTTGGGCCTCCCCAAACCACCCTCCCCCCGATTCAAGGTATCTCTTTGCAGCCCACAAGCCAAACAACTTGCCACAAAAAGGGCGTTCCTTCTTGCAAAGTAATCGCTTAGTCGCTTGAACCCACCAATATGTGCTTCCCCCAAAAAGCTTTGTCTTTACTAACTTGTCTTTTTAAGACAAGGTGTTCAAGCTCACAAAGGGGGGCCCTGTTGCCCTTGGAGGTCAGCCCCCCGCATTCACAGAAAACCCCCGCGAACAAAACCAAAAACCGTTGCTGCCAAATAAAGTCATGGGGGGGAGGGAGGAGAGGGGGAGGGAGCCCAAATAAGCCCTTATTAAGCCCCTAATAAGGCCTTCTTCGGGGCTTATTAGGGCTCTCTCCCCCACCCCTCCCTCCCCCTGGCCCGCATGATAAAGTCCTATTGCCTAGAAAGGGCCAAGAAGGGTTCCTTCCAGTTCAATTTGGCTGGGAAGGGGCCAGAAGTAAGAGGACAGAAGCTCCAGAATGAATCAGGAAAGTCCTCCAAAATCTCAGGTGTGGGTGCTTGTCCAAGCCTTGTCGACCGGCCGGGGGGCCGGGGGCACCAAATGACTTTCAACTAACGTGAGATTCGAGTCTATCCTTCCCACTGCGGATTGGATATATCCGCTGTAGCTTTCACCAAGCTCGGCCCAACTGCATATGTTCAGATTCTACTGCAGTCTACCCCTAAAAATAACACATCTTTTGGAGGATACCCGGGTACCCCCCCAACAAAAGGAAGAAAATCATTCCCAAACAGTATCAAGTTCAGAAGATTGGAAAGTGAGTCCTTCCCGAAATCCAAGTCCTTCCAAATTTCCATTCGAGACTGAGAAGGAGCGAAGTGCCTCTGGCTTCCCGGGTAGGTATGAGTCTTTGAGGGTATCCGGCTTTGCTCTATCTCACTTCCTGAGTGGATTGGGCAACAAAAACTCCAAGCTTTATATCTGGCACTAAAATGGTCGTTCCCAAAAAGTGACTAAAGACCATCAATTCAGGAAGTGAGGACTTTCTCCAGTCTTTTCTTTTTCCGGAGTCCGGAGTGAAGCTCTTCCCTCCGCCACGTCCCTTTGGTTGCCCTTGCAAAGCACACAGAAAGAGAAATATTCACTTCTTGAGATGGCCCAAAACAAGTCACACAGCTTCTTTGGATACCACCAAAATGGTCCAAGCCCAAAAAGTGTAAGTCCAGGAACTCAGGGAAGTGCGCATACCTTTTTACCAAATGCAGACGCACCACACGCCCCCAGACCGTTTTGTGCTCGCCTGGTGGTGCGGATACAGCTCTGGCTCCGCGGACAGCGTGAGCTCCGTGAGGAAGTACACGGCCTCCGGCCTCAGCGTGGCAACAGCGCTCAAGGCTGGGTGGCTGAGTGGCTGGCTGGTTGGCTGGTTGCTTGCTTGGTTGGTCGCTTGCTTGGTTGGTTGCTCGCTTGGTTGGTTGCTTGGTTGCTCGGTTGCTTGGTTGGTTGCTTGGCTGGGTGGCCGGCTGGCTGCTTGGCTGTCTTTGGTTGCTTGGTCGGAAGGTCGGTTGGTTAGATTGTTGCTGAGGAAAATGCACATGTTCAACCGCAACTTGCAGCCAAGAATGCGTGTGTTTCTCCCTGGAGAAATGACACCAAACACGAAATGCAAGCGGGTGGTGGAAGGGCCAATGCAAACATTGTAACCCAGGCAACCCTTGAAAGCAATCGACCAAAGTCCCAGCCGAAAAGAAGGGGCACGTTTGAATGGATACTGGAATAACCACTGGACCCACTGGAGAAAAATGAAGAACCCTCAGATCTCATGGGACAATGATTACGACTCTTGCTGCTTTGTTGTCAAGGACCCTCCAAGGATGTCTACCCAGGTTTTTGATAACGGAAACGCACAACCCGGTTGGATGTTCCTTGCATTTCCTTTTGAAACCCCCCGTAAGGTACCCTTCGTTCTACCCAAGATGGTTTGGTGATTGAGGGAAAGTCGGTATATACATCGGTAGATACACCTCGAAACTGAGGCTGTATTGGGTGATAAATCAAGAGGAATCGGCAAGCCTAGATAGCCCTTCGCCATTGTCCTTTTGCTTTCAAGGCGAGCAATGCTTTGATTTTTAGTATAACCCCCTTCTCTTGGGAACCTGTTGGTTAGGATAGAGGAAACCAGTGTGAAGGGCATGTCCTCATTCGAAGCAAAGTATTACTTTCGGAACATGCTTATATTTGGTCAACCCACACATATAAACAATAACGGCGGAGACCCATTCTTAGCCTCCCTTTCTTCGGTTGGCTGTGGACTTTTATCTCCACTTCAGGTCGTGCTTTTGGCTTGCTTGTACCCCCGAATCCTGTCGTCTTCCTTTGGTTTCCCTCCAGACCAACCTCAAAAGGGTACCAACTCCAAAGAGCCACCGACGATTCACCTGGCAAGACGTTCCAAGCGCCAAGACCCCGCGCATAAATCGCAGGTTGCCGGCTTCGCCCCAGACCAGCAGGTAGGTTGCCTTCAAACCGCTAGTGGCCCGGTCCCCCGCACAAAAACCGTACGCACACAGAAAACCATATGTTCAGATTCTATTTCATACAAACACAGAAACTTGATGTTTGGAGAAGCCCCCAGTTATCACATTTCCCTGAAAGGAAAACTGCAGAAACAAAAGGGAAAACAAAAAAATGAGATAAGTCTAGGAATTGTTTTGTGGCAGGTAAGGGCATGTATTTAGCTTTGTCTGGAGCGCGCAGAAAATAGGCCTGATTATGCTTCATACTTTGTCGGAGGCCCAGGATACTGCATGCAGCACAATCCCTCAGAGCCCGCCAGGGCAGAAGAGCCAAGTTGCATTTGTAGTTTTATGACTTGGGGGGGGGGGGCTGAGGGGTTTGGTTGTACTTGCTGAAGTCACAAACATACGCGGCGACATATTATCCCTCCAGAGCTTGCCATACGTGATGACTACCCCGGATGGACGTTATGAATGTTTCCGCAAGAGGGCATGGAAGAATTGCTGGTCTTTATGGGCAATTTGGCTGCTTCTCCCGTGTCCTCCCCAAACCATCGACTTCTGGGACACAATTAAAACCTGGCATTAGAAAGCTGCGCCACTCCCATGTAAAGAAGCAACAGAGCGGCAGCTATCTTCATCCAACAGAATCTTGATTGTGCCACGGCGAGCTTGCAAAAAAAAGTGAAAGGTTCACCTGAAGCTTGCCAGCTGTCCGGTGTGAATTTGAGATCAACTCGGACTGCTCGACTGGCTCCGGACATTCTCCCGAGGTGGACACGCCGCGCGAAATTTGAGAGATGGGATGCGCCCAGGACATGAACTGCTGAGATGACCAGCCAGAAAGAAGTTTGCGCTCTTTGGGCCTTGGCGCAATGAAGACACCTGGGTTGAAAAAACAACCCCGTGGACAACCCTTGTATCCTTACGCCCTAGTATCGGTCAGTATCGGTTTTTCCCTCTGCATCGGTTTGCGGTGTTTTGGCAGCTCTAGCTCGCAAGTTGCGGCTTTTCCGTACAAGTGTAGTATGCGAAGTGCCCTCTGCCAGCTCCCAGCTCCAGCTGGAAAGTCGCAACTTTTCAGTACAAGTGTAGTGCTCGAAGTACGTTGTGGCAGCTCCAGCTGGAGAGTCGCAACTTTTCAGTAGTATGCGCAGTACACGTTGGCAGCTCCGGCTCGAAAGTCGCAGCTTTTCAGCGCAAGTAAGTGTAGTATGGTGTAGTATACGAAGTACATTTTGGCAGCTCCACACCGGAAGTCGCAACTTTTCAGTACACATGTAGTACACAAAGTACATTTTGGCAGCTCCAGGGAAGGCCGCAGGGCAGCTGGTTGGATTCGGCATGGCGGCCAATGACTTGGGTATCGGTTGGGTATCGGTTCGGGTATCGGTTTGGGCCCTGCACATTTATGATTCCGCAATCTTGGTTTGCGACAACAACTTGGACCTGATGTGTGTCTTCATGGCTGCTGGGGGTATCGATTGTTTTTCCTCTGTATCGGTTTACAATGGTGTTGGCCTGCGAAACAAGTTAAGGGGCGGCCCCTTACATTACGAAAAGGTGCGGGGTTGTTTTTTCAGCCCACCTGCCATGTTCAAAGTTGCCAACCCTAGAAACAAGCCTCAGTGATTTTCTCTGATCCCACCATGTCGTGGCTCGCTATTGCTTCCTTCAGATGAAGTCCAGCGAGACCATACGATAGCCAAAAGCCAAGAAGACCCATGCCATCAGCACATGTGCGCACTAGATCTAACACTTACATGTTCTTGCGACCCAACCAGCCAGCCCGGGTCGAAAACCAAACGCATTTCCTGTTTGGTTGAATCCCATTTCGGGTGGATGAGAGGAACTCACTGAACAGGAACCTAAATCCGGGGAAGAAAAAAAAGGGAAAGCCGCCCTGCACAACTCAATGCTGCCAACAGGGGAATTGAGTACACCTCAGCTGCCCAGTGTCCCTGCTAGAAGAACAAGTTAAAACTATTCGTGTGTTGTTTCATGCTTGTTTCTTTCCTCTCTTTTTCTTCCGGAGCCCTTCAAAGGGATTGAAAGGCCGCCACAGAACAACTGGGCCACATCGGAGTAATTACACAGAAAGCAATACTTTCTGACTCTGTTTCAGATTCAGCCTACCCTAGAACATAAAACAGTGTTTTGTCATCCAAAACCACAACAAAATATCAAACAGACTTGGGAGGAGATCGTGGGAATGTTCACAAGGGACTCCCTTGAGGGGACAAAGACACTTCGAGCGCTGACTCGCCAAGGTGCGATTTCCGCGAGGTGGGTGGTGGCAAGGTTCGCCGCGAGCTTTCGGCTGTCCTCGTTGAGGTTGGGAGTGGGAGCGGGACGGTTGGTTTGGTTGGGTAAACTGGATAGGCTAGGTTGGGCGCTAGCCTGGCTATAGGTTGGTGTTGGTTTTGGTTTGGTTGGTTGGTTGGTTTGGTTTGGCTTGGTTTGGTTTGGTTGGTGGGTTGGTTTGGTTGGAATCCAAAGACGTATCTGGGCCATGTAGCAAAGATCGGGACTCATTGACTCATTGTCCCTACGGAAGTCTATGGCCCCGTGGCAGCCCTTGCGAGTCGGCAAGCTGAATCAGTCTACCTTGGTTTGATCGAACTGGGTGGCTTCCACATGATTACTACAACGACCCCTCTGCAAAAAGTGAATAACTTAGTGTGGGTCCAATTCGGAAAACCTGACCTGTTCAAACAAAAAAATGACAAAATCCAAAGATCCGTTACCCAATCGACATAAAGTACGTGTTTATACCTTTAGACTCAAACAACCTCAACAAACCAGATGCCGCCAGAAAAAAGACAAATGACTCAAACAACCTCAACAAACCAGATGCCGCCCAAAATAAAAACGGAAGCCTTCACCAAGACAAACCAAACAAAAACATGAGCGTTGCCTTTTTGTTTCTTCTTTTGTTCGAGGCACCGCGTGGAGCCAGTCGCCGGGCACGAGGTGCGCCCAGCGGGCGCCCCCCAGGACCAAGCTCCCGCTGCTCAACGGCTCCTGAAGCGAGGCGGAGGGATCGGTTGGCAAGGCACTTGCCCCGTTCCCCATGTTGCCGTGTGGCGCCTTAGGGGATGAAGGAAAACTAGGTCCTCCAATGGAGAGGTTAGAATAAGGGTACCCCATTTTTTTCTGTAGTCTATTTTAGTAGGGGAACCCTCCCCCCGAAAAAGGGTCAAAGGGCACTACTGGGGGACCTAGACAAAACATGGCTGAATCTACCCTACCAACTAACGTGGAAGCGCAC